AAGTTTCAACTTCTTTATTGCATGGTTTACTGCCCTAGAGAATAAAAACTCAAACAAGACAGAAATTCCTTAAAATAATAGATTTGTTGTTTTTATGTCTGCTTTTAATTTATCAAATATGACGTAAACAAGCCCATATCAGCTTTGTCTGATAAAATTGCTATCAAAAAGACAATAGTATGTTATTCTCTATTCAAAATTTTAGTAATTGATTTAATTAACTCAAGGAAAAGGACATAAACATTTTAAAAATTAAATTAACAAGAACAATGACAATGTTTGAACTCATAAGGCCTTCATATTTTGAATTAATTAAAGAGTAACTTGATTGTAGGAGTATATTTACATAATACAAGAAATATTAAAATGTTAAAATAAAGGTTCATTAAAGTTGTTTTGACATTCACTCTGACCATGTTAACGTATTCATTGTGTTATGTAATTTTGGTAATAAAATGAGTGTTTGCATGTGTTTTATCCAATCAACAACAAAAAACACAATATCACAATTAATGTCAAATAAATAGGCTACAAATGAAACAAGAATTTGTTACAGAGTTACCAACGTCCCCCGCCTCGGGGAAGTTTTATATGAAGCAAAAATTGTGCTATTTCAAAAGATTGAGGTATGGATCTCAGGACTTTCAGTCAAAAATTATTATCAATGCTAGATCTGCAAATGCAACAATAAATTTATAAAAGAAATAAAATGAAACACTGAATTTAAAAATCTATCATGTTAAGCTTTGACCTCTAAGTGTGACCTTGACCTTGGAGGTAGAGGTGCAGGTGTTGTGCATGACATATTGTCTTATTGTTGTAACTATTTGTATCAAGTATTTTCAAAATCCCTTGAACTATGAAGAAGTTAAAGAAGGGACACAAAATATACCCTCTAACAGACTATGTTAATTTTTGACCTCTTAGTGTGACCTTGGAGGTAGGGACCCATGTTTTGCGCCTGACACATCGTCTTATTATTGTGATTATTTGTGCAATCCCTTGATCTATGAAAAAGTTATGGACTGGACACAAAATATACCCAATAACAGACTATGTAAATCTTTGACCTCTACATGTGACCTTGACCTTGGAGGTAGGGACACTGGTGTTACGCATGACATATCATCTTTTCATTGTGACTATTTGTGCCAAGAATTTTCAAAATCCCTTGATCTATGAAGAAGTTATTGACGGGACACAACATATACCATATAACAGACTCTGTTGACGTTTGATCTCTAAGTGTGACCTTGACCTTGGAGGTAGGGGTGCAGGTGTTGTACTTGACATATCGTCTTATTATTGTGATTATTTATGCCAAGTTATTTCAAAATCCCTTGCACTATGAAGAAGTTCAACATTGGACACAATATATACCCTTTAACAGACTATGTTAATTTTTGACCTCGAAATGTGACCTTGACCTTGGAGGTAGGGATGTAGGTGTTGCGCATGACACATCGTCTTTTTATAGTGACTATTTGTGCCAAATATTTTCAAAATCCTTTGATATATGAAAAAGTTATGGACCGAACACAAAATATACCCTATAACAGACTATGTTAATCTTTGACCCCAAAGTGTGACCTTGACCTTGGAGGTTGGTGACTGATTGTTGCGCATGACACATCATCTCATTGTTGTGAACAAATGTGGCAAGTATTTACAAAATCCTTTCAAAGATAAGAAAGTTATAGATCGGACACGACATATACCCTCAAATAGTAAATGTTGACATTGAATGAGCAAGTGCGACCTTGACCCTGGAGGTAGGGGTCTGGGATGACACACTGTCTTATTATTACAAACATTTGTGCCAAGTTATTTCAAATTCCTTTGATAAATGACAAAGTTATGGACCGGACATGAAATATACCCTGCAACAGACTATGTTTATCTTTGACCTCCAAGTGTGATCTTGACCTTGAAGGTAGGTGCCCGGTTTTGCGCATGACACATCTTCTCTTTATTGTGAGCAATTGTGACAAGTATTTACAAAATCCCTTCATAGATAAAAAAAGTTATGGACCGGACACGACATATACCCTCAAATAGACAATGTTGACCTTGAATGAGCAAGTGCGACCTTGACCCTGGAGGTAGAAGTCTGGTTGTTGCGCATGACACATCGTCTTATTATAACAAACATTTGTGCCAAGTTATTTCAGATTCCTTCAATAAATGACGAAAGTGTGACGGACGGACGTACAGACAGACGGACGGAGCCTATTTCTATATCCCCCTTTTTTCTTCGGAAAGGCGGGGGACAACAAAACAAAAACAACACAATATTCACTTTAACGGCTTAATGTTTTTGCGCAAAAATTAAAGATGTGAATTAATCTTAAACTAATTAAAATAGTGATACTGTTGTTTAGTTGGATTTTGTTCAAATATACAAAACAATGAAGAGCGAGATATCATTTATATATTTGTGAAATATCCATATTTGTTAAACACCCAATGTGGAAAAGTGGATTTGATCTTGTAAGTACACTTAAAAGCATAACAAGTAACCTTGGCATTTGAAATCATACCCCAAAACAAATAATGTCTTGCACTTGTCATGACCAACATCCACACTAAATGTAGGATAATGGCAAAAAAAGTCCCAACAGTGCCCCTGGCCTTAGGTATACCGTCCTCAAAGTCAAAACGGGTTATCCACTGGCCATGGGTGATGTCCCTACCAAGTTGAATGAACCACGGCTTATTCCCGTGGGGAATGGTGCAGTGCGTTCGTACTGATCATAGTACACTCCCACCTTTTTAATAACCTATGAAGCAATGAAAACTAACTTGGCATCAGAAAAAAAAGCAAATCGATTAGGGGGAAGTTCCAAAATGTGTTACCGTTAAAAAGGCTTGACATATGACTGACTAGGAAAGCCATTACAGATATACATGGAGCTCAGGCATCAAAAGGCTTTTACGGTAGGAGAAAATGGTGAAAATAATTCATTACAATATAGGAAAATCCAACTGAATATTGCACATTATGTTTTTTGAAAGTGACTTTATGTTAGGGTACATTGTGGATAAAGTATGAAGAAAGTCATATATAACATTACCAAAATATTTACTTTCTTAGTCTTAATTGTTAACTCACTCTTTTTATTAATTTCAAGGTTTTATAGAAAAACATTTCCAAATGCCTAACATGACAATAAAAATGTGTTTTGGACTTTTAATGATTTTTGTGTTGCCAGCTACACTGAAGCTACATAGAATCGGGATATATAAAAAACATTGATTTTAGGTATGTAAAGACATCAGATTAACCTTTTAGGGATATCTTTTTCTTAAAAATGTATGGTGCGTCTTTGTTATGATTTGCAATTGAAACTCCTCGTATTCCACTATTCTATGACTGTCACAACAGAAGTCTTTAAATGTGAAGTATTTCCAATTATCATGCTAGTTGAAATGTTAAATATATAATTATATATAAAGTTATGTATTCTGATTTACAGAATAAGAATATAGTTTGATTTTTTTTGCAGAATTGTAACACTAATGAGGGTGATCATAGTTGTTTATGTTCATCTTACGAAGGCTTTCCTTAAAGTTTAAAATAAGTACATTATTTTAAAATTCTCTCTAAAATTGTACTCTGTATTTAGCAAAATTGGTGGCATGCTGCTTTAAAACTATGTTAGAGACCTGTATGAAATGTTATTGATATTTAATTTGACCTGTGTTTTCTTTATTTATTGACTTCCCCAGAATCATAATCACAAGTACGTGCAAATGTCACACATGTGACAATTACGTGTGAGACATATACGTGGAGTTCGTTACAGTTCGCCGATGTGACGTGTACGTTTGACATTTTTTTTTATTTTTAGTCATTTTATTTGTCACATCAAGTGTTCGAATCATATAGACTGTAGTTTTGTATACACAAGTGTAACATATCAGTTGATTTCAATTCAGACATCGGTGTTTCCAGGGACAGGGTCATGCATTTGACATATGAGCCGTGTCACGACAAAACCAACATAATGGGTTTGCGACCAGCATGGACCCAGACCAGCCTGCACATCCGCGCAGTCTGATCAGAATCCATGCTGTTCGCTATCAGCTTCTCTACTTGTAATATTAATAGGGTTTGTAAGCGAACAGCATGGATCCTGATCAGACTGCGCAAACCCATTATGTTGGTTTTGTCGTGACGCGGCTCATATATACTTTTTGTGAACTCCATCTGGCACGTTATGTTTACTTTTTTGCATATTTTTGTGTAAATGTAGCAAAAATGCTTTTAAGTAAATATATACATTGTTCAAACACCATTTTATATTTATATAGAAAAAGAGAGTAGGCTGGTAAAACTGTTGGGTTGAAAACATGTACCAAATGAACCTTTGAAAGAAAAATGATTTACTTTAGTAACCTCAAAAAATTATTCCCAAGAAAACTTGTTTCATCGAGATAATTTTATGTTCTGAGCAGATTTTGATTTTACCATTTTTAAGATCTAGCCAATAGCATACAGTGTCCGATCCTCGTTGGAGTACGGACTATACAGGGGTGAGGTTCACAAATTAAAGCAGGTTCCCTTGCACAATAAAATATGCATGTTAAAAACTTTTATCAATATGCTTTTATAAACTTAAGGAATAATTCAAGATTTCCCGGCAGACATCATAGTGAATAGAAAAACGTCTTTGGTTAAGAATTTCTTTTTTTTTTTGTTTGAATTTGATTCAGACATGAGTTTTAAAGGCCATCATATCCCAGAAATGCTTTTATTTGTATTTCTCATAAGTTGTCTTTTTATCTTCTTTTTTTTACATTTACAGGATCCATGCTGTTCGCTTACAAACCCTATAACAAGTAGAGAAACTGATAGCGAACAGCATGGATCCTGATCAGACTGTGTAGTAGTTATCATTATTTTCTAACATCAAATTTGAGCATAGTATATCTTTTAAAGCCTATTTAGTGTAATACTACAATGGAAAAATAAACAATAACAAGAAAACAAGAAACAACAACAACAAACAATTCTTTGTATATTCTTTATAGATAGATATATAGCCAATAATAATGATTCTGAAAGAGATAATATTTAAAGCAATGTCTTTTGCTTTTTTTGATCTAACATATTTCAAAACAGAAGCTATTTTGATTATCCAAATGTAATTGAATAAACGTTGTTGGCGTCCGCGCCGAAGAGCGGCGCCTCTTATGGAATGAAATCAGATTTTGTGAAAGGGCGACAGCAACTTCTCGAGCCTTTTAGTCGGCCATAATAAAAGCCGATCATTCCGATCGGTATGAGGGTGCTTGATTATTAATTAAAAATGAAATGTCGCGATATGTACAATGAATAGCGAGCAAGAGAATTTCGCAACGCAAATATTTTCAAAATGAAATAACCTTTTCCGTCAATAAATCGCGCTCTTCGGGGTTTTTTATTTATCATTTTGTAGTACACAGTGGGTTATTATGGTATGTTATTGTTGTACATGTATCCACGGATTTTACATGTAATATAAATCCGTGATGTATCCGAAAGCTGTAAATAGAGGTCAGGGAATCGCATTGTAACATGGCCAGCGATTGGCTGAAAAAAAGTGCAGGGAAAACCGTATGAATAACTTTATACATGAGGTGATTTGATGAGAATGGGGTATTTTTAAGTATAAAAACTAATTTAAAAAGTAACACTACATTGTTTTCTGAAGAAAATGAAATATTTCATGAGTCTCTATGATAATTTTGACTTGGATATTTGCATTTATAAAAAGTGTATGTCAGTCCTGTGATCAGCAGAAAATTTCAATGAAATGGGGGGTAATCCTCTTTGAAGTCATTTTGCAAAAAATTTGGTTGGCTACCACTATATAACAGGAACATTTTTATGTGTCAGGCATTTCATTCTGCTAGAAAAATCACGTCTTTAGCATGAAAATTCAATTTTAAGGTAGGATTAGGGACCATTTCTTATAATGTACGTCTATGGAAATATCAATGTGAGTGTCTGACCTAGAATGATGAGTTGATGACCTAAATATTCCGAAAATCTATTTATAGATTACTCCTATCGGTAATTCCCGGTCTCTCCCGGTCTATTTTGACCGGGATTTACTAGTGACCGGCGAATAGTACCACACGTTTATTGTCCGGTCTCTCCCGGTTTTGTAGTAGATGTTTGATATCGTTACAGAAAAGAACAAATATTTTAACAGATAAATAAGCTTTTTTCCCAAAATGAATGTTTGTCACTTAGTTTGGTTACAATTGTTAATAAATTCAGATCAACTCTCAGATTTATTGATTATTATTATACATAAACATACAATTCGAAAGAAAACAACAACAACAACAATAGCATGTTTCATTTTATCTATATGAGATAAAAACAATAAATATGTACAATAATTGAGAAAAAAGGTACATTTTTATGGTATTAATATGACACTATCAACTTTGAAACATTTTATTTAATTTGTTATTCGTGTTTAGTAAAGATGCCGAGGAATTATTCAAAGTTACAAATTAGATTTTATGAATTATTCAATTGATTGATAATTTAAAAAATGATAAAAAAAATACAAATGTACATGTACATGGTTTAAGAATAAACAATATTATATATTGAAAGATTAACCATAATTCTCTGACTTTTTCCAGTTAAGTTTTGACTTATAATCGCCGGTCAATATGACAATTGAATTCTTCTTAATTCTTCCTGCCTTTAACACTCGTAAGAGGGGTTGGCAGTATCCAGAGATAGATAAATTTATTTTATAATTTAAAGAAAGAGTAGTAAACATAAAAACTCAAAACACAAAAAAAGAAAAGAAAATATTCATAAAATCTGTATTTTTTTATTAAAATTAATAGATATTACAATTGTTGTATAATAAACAATTATGCTCAACATGATCAACGTAGTATAACCAGTGTCATATTTTTACCAAGTGTGAACAGATACCTTAAGAGGGGGTCTTCGCTAATAGCGATAACATAATAAGGGACAATTACACAAGTGTGGTGTTGATTATGCGTTACACATATGGATTATAAATGATTGTATACATGTATATACGTTGCTATTAATAACCACGATCATAAAGAAATAACAAGTAATATTCTAATCTCTAGTATGCCAATCAAAGTTCATAATGAACAATGTCTTTCGTCCGCTCATTCATAAGTGATATACAATTCTGGTAAAAACCATTGGAAAGTTTATAAGAAAATCTTGTCATCATATGTCTACTAGTTCATCTTCACTTGATGCATTTCTTGCTTGGACGCCCTTTGATGCTTTGCATCAATGCTTTTCTTGTAACAAATATGGAATGAAAACAAAAAGCATACATACACTGAAAAATGCGACATCCGTTAGACTTAAACAGACAATTGTATGCAAACTGAGATGATGTCAATAAATGAACACGAAATTATAAACCATACAGTCAAGTACATGCTAAAGCGTTTTTTGTAAGATGTCAGCTATGGTTGTTAAAGTTTGAATCATTCAGTTGTATTAGCAATGTAATAAAGGAACACGAATGATTCCTTGGCGAACACAATGGGACTTTAATTCTACACATGCATTCAACCATCCACGTCTCATACATTTCAGTCCCCACAATGCACAAAAGGTGATCTCATGGGTAGCACATACAGAGGCCCTTTTTTGTCTGAGTCCTGAAAATAGGAATTAAATTAAATTATGTCGAATAATTAAATTGGAAATGACGTCAGTGTACCGAAATACTTTAAGAAAATTATCATTGTAGTAAAATAATTTATTACATTTTTAATTTATTTTAAGAATAATAATCCTGATAGTACTGGTAATTCTAATAAACGATTGCACATTTCTATAATTAGGTCTATTATAGGAGTATTTGGAACCAGACCATAGAGAATTTAATTGGACTATGATCGCATGAGGTGTGGAAACGCATGATATGATACGTTCTTGTAGTATCTATGACAGTTAAATAAAAGTTAAAGACCAAGTGACTCTTGCATTGCCTTTTTCTCGTATGTAAAATGCGGCTAAACTGAACGTCAAATTTTACACAAAATTGACAATTTTCTTTCCATTTTTCAAACATTTTTCGGCGTAAAACAATAAATTTTATATCAGCTTGAAGGAAAAAGTGATTTCCGTCGAATGCTGTAGAATTTAAGATATTTTGTCCGCCAATGGCGTTGAAATAACCGTAACTGTTGCCAAGGATACGCAAAGACGTCATGTTCAAAAACGGGCTCTGATGGTCAACTTTGACGCCGTGTGTACAAAAATTGGCTGAAACTATTAAAATAAAATTAACGGAACCTAATCAGAAATATTGTCAACTATTTCCATGCCAATTTTCAAGACGCTACTCGAAAGTTCGCAAAGTGTCGCGTTCTACCTTAATTAATGACGCCATATCTGGTATAGTCGTGTCGGATAAATCTCTAATACAAATACAAATAAGTTTTCGCCGGGTTGTATATCTTTCCATCGGGTCGTTTATAGCCAACAATGAAAATGTACATTACAAACACTTTACTAGAAATGTATAATCTTACCGTTTTCTGATTCACTCTCATGGTCCATGTCAGGCTTGAGACATTCTGTCGGTTTTACAAAGACAATGTCACGGTTTTTACATTCTGTAAGGTCGGCTGGTATTTCGTCTTGCATGTCAATAGCAGGTATACGTTTGAAACAATGTGGAGGATCGTCTGCCTGATTTGATATCACAGTAAACTTTTAGAAAAGCATTTATTTTGTTAACTTATTTTGTCAAACAAAGCGCTTCCTTTAAAATGAAGTCATAGTCAATATGGTGTATATTATATAAAGAATTTATTCAATTTCTATTGCGACAATAACTCATAGAAATATCTATTTGTAAAAAAAAATACAACAGTTTAGAAGTACACTTGCTTTAGCAAACTTAATATTAAAGTTTTATAAGTGTTCATGATATATAAAACATTGATCATATATATCTAGTACAATTTAAAAAATACCTAATTAATTATATCCAAATCAATATCTTTAAAGCTATATTTTCGCGTATTACAAAATGCTTTGTTTGAATCTCGAAAGGAACAACTACAAAATACGCATATGAAAGAAATACACGTATGAGGATATATTTCCTTTTAGCGAATGACGCATGCATAAAATCGTAGCCGAAAAGTTGAAAACCTTTATAAAGGTTTATAAAAATTTAATCCGGAACATTTTATTATGTTTACATATATTTTTTCATGTCTGTATGTTAAAACTCTTTCCATGCATAATTTGCCATAATGATATGATACGTTTGACCTAATTAATCATTAAATGCAAAATTTAAATTTGAGAAAATATAAATATTATCTACATGCATTTAATTATTTCCCACACTTAATTAGTAGACATGATAGACATACCACTTGATTGTTCACTTAATACAATTTTTATTTTATCATAGTTTGGGGACATTTCTGTTGAAAATACGTCAGAGTTAAATCGTATACATATACATGTACAGTGCGTGAACTGGAGTGCAGGTATTAGTTACCCGCACTCCAGAGCATGCATATTGATTGGCTCATTTTTGCTGGGGTTTACTTATTGTGATGGCAGAGAAAAGAAAAGCGACAGAAATATCATATTCAGATGCTCGTTCATTTGTTGTTTTTTTCTGGGGTTTCATATTGTGACAACGATACTTGATACAAAAGAGAAAGAACACCAAAACTCTCGGCAATCTGATTAATACTCGGGGGGGGGGGTGCTACGCCCCCTCGTACAAATCAGAAAGCCTCGTGTTTCAGTGCTCTTTCTATTACTAAGAGGACAAGATAAAAAAATAACTTACTAATTATAAAGCATAATGTTTATTAGTGCAAGCCTAATTAATTCTACAATGCACTTCTAATATTTGATAAGATATTAATTATTATTACCTTAACGAGAAATCGTGAGACGAGACAGATGTTTTCGTCTACAGGTTTTCCAAGTTGATATCCCTGAGGTAATTGAATGTTTATAATTATCATTATCATTTTTATTTGTTTAGGGCAAGGCATACTAATGATCGTAATCATCGTTACAATACAATGTGACTCGACTGTTACATTAAATATATATATAACATAAATGAGTTAAAATAGATAATACTACAGAGCATCAAAATTATTATAAACAAATGTTGTGTAGTGATGTAAGTGTTTTTCTTGCTGTGCAAAGTATTATGATTATTATTGATTCTACTTATTGATTGCATGCAAATGTCTTAAAAAGTAAAATATTAGGAATGTGTATTCAATTTATCTTTGAAAATTAAAACAAAGTCCAACAATATACAGTTGCTTACCTCATTTTCAAAGACATCTATTTCCGTGACTTTTTTGCCAGTAGTCTTGTCTTTAATAATTAAAATCTTCTCATTACCCTTTTTATGCGACTCGGCTATAAAGAGCTAAAATGAAAATCATTTCATTTACTAAAGTTACACAATTTCAGGCATATAATGGTTAATTTAATAACATTGTAGACATTTTTGGAGATACCACAAACCCATAATCATGTGCAAAAATTTATTCATTTTTAAATAAACTATTATGTTTTATGTCAAATATGAAGATAATTACGAAAGATCGGTGGGGACATTTCAACTTCGTGTATTCCTGATTTCATCTTCGTGAATTCACAATCTTACCTTCGTGAATGCATGTACTCCACACAGGGCTTACGAATTCAAGATATCAACTTCACACATTCACGATTTCAAATTCAAAAATTCACGATTTCAACTTCATGAACTCACGATTACAACTACACAAATTCATTTTCGTGAATTGACGATTTCAGCTTCACGATTTCAACTTCATGAGTTCAACTTCGTGAATTCACGATTTCAACTTCAAAAGTTCACGATTTCAGCTTCACGAATTCACGATTTCGATTTCACGATGAAGTTTAAATCGTAAATTCGTGAAGTTGAAATTGTGAATTTATGAAGATGAAAATGGGGAATTCATGAAGTTGAAATATCCCGACAAGTCTTTCGTAGATAATAAGCAACTCACACTGTCCTCCTGACAAAGTGAAGAGCACAACATTCCTGCCAGAATTAATGCACCAAATAACTGCATGGTCATTTCGTTTGAAACTTGCCTACAAAAAGATAAATGCATAGATGATCAAAACTATCGATTGAAATCTTCTCATTTTTTAATATATACATTACAAATAAAACATTCAATTATATATATTATGTGTAATTTCTGAAATGGTATTCTTATTATTCATTATCCAGCTTCATACTTTAATAATAATTTTTAAAGAACTTATATCTAAGAAATGTTTGAGACTTTATAGTATGATATCGTTCTTTACCGTATACCGTATTTCATTTGACCGATGGCAAGTAAAGTTAATGAGCAAATGATAATGATAATAATAATAATAATAATATATCATCATCATCATTATTTTTATTATTACTTTTTTTATCATTATTATTATGTGGTGTTAATGATGTTAACAATGATGATGATGATGATGATGATGGTGGTGGTGGTGGTGGTAAGCACTTCTAACGTCAATATGCTATCAGTTTCCTGATACAATTTTTATATTGTAATTTTGTTTGTAAATATTGAAGAAGAAATACATAATTTATTATTGTTGAAATAAACTCTTGTCTTAAATTTCATTTAATTCATTAAAATAATTTCATTTAATTCATTAAAGTTATATTTTATGAAGTAAACAAGCATTGAAAATAAAATAAATTCATACTAAACACTTAAAATTTTACAATATAAAAAGACATACCTGTTATCTCTTTAAAGATGATCCTCCGTCGTTTGTTGAAGACGTTTCTGCGCATCTTTTTATTGAGTTCCTATTTTTCTTCCTAATGCAGATTAGCCAATCAGGTACAATCAAAGTATTTCTCATGTTCACCTTTTAAACTGCTATATGAAATGCCAAAACAAATGCGTAAAAGAATAATTCAAAATCTGACATTACTTACCCCTTTAAGTAGAAACATATCAGGAACAAGGAAGACATTGCCTTATTTTTTTCAATATTCAATATACATACTTAGAAATAGTTTCAAAACTTCTTATGTTCTTACCCTGTTTAAGATATATCACTTAACGTGGTAATAATTTGTACTCATTTGTTAGCTTAGTTCAAGTTGCATGTCAAAATATTTAACACATGTTCTTTTATTTTTAATAAATAATATATAATATATAATAATATAATATGATGATAGTAATAAGAACAAAGTGTACCATGTACATTTATATTAAAATGCAGTACGTTTCCATGAGATAATAAGTACATAATTATTAATCTTTCTTTTTCAGACAACTCTTAGATTATACACCAAGGTAAAGAATACCAAATTAACTGTCTAAATACATACACTAAATTAAAAAAACGTCAAAATCATTTGATAAAAGATGATACTGTTAGTCCACTCTATAGAACAGCTCATTAAAAATAATGAAAAGATTGCACTACCAGCAGCGACTTGTTCAAGCGATTTCCTAGGGAGTGATAGGTTTATCCAGGAGTGATACACTGTGAAAAAAAAATCATTAAATTTTTTACTGCACATTCTTTTTTATATTTTTAAAAATCATCATCAACAACAAAAGCAACAACAAAAAAAACCCAAAAAACCCACAACTTTGGAATAAATAATATTGCTTACTTGTACTGTGATGTCATTAGTAGTTTAAATTTTATGAGGAAAACTATTTTAACAATTATGATTGTGCTTATCTAATTTTATATTCTTTATATTTTGTGAAAGTTATGTCACGGACGCTTTTTACAACAAAATGGTAAAATATGGTAAGATACGTATACTGTTCTGTTTAAAACAAAATAAAGTATACTTTTTGCGACGCGGTTTGTTGCTATGAAAAATCGACCGGATGTAATTCTCATGAAGTGAATTGAAGAAAATACACAAATTTAAAGTGAATTGGTCCACAATGGAAAGTTTGTTACATTTAATATAGCATAAATGAATATGTTGATTGTATTTGGTATCACTTCAGACAACAAACTATGAAAGAATTATACATTAATTGTGTTGGTAAGTGTGAAATTCATGGTCTTATATGGCATATCTATTTTCGCAAAATGATAATAAAAGTAGCGGGATAGATTCTCTTTTGGCAGAAATGTATAAATGTTCATTTGATGAAATATCAACAACACTTCATTTACTTTTCAATAAAATATATGTCAGTGGAGAATATCCAATCTCGTGGGGGAAGGCATAATAGTACCAATCTTTAAGAGCGGAGATAAGGAGGATGCAAAAAATTACAGGGGTATTACATTGATAAATATTATCTCAAAAATCTACTCACAAGTTCTTCTGAATCGCTTTACCAAATGATTCAAAAAGCACCAAAAAATAATTGATAATCAATACGGCTTCCAAAAAGGTAAATCTACAGCCGATTGTATATTTCTTTTGAAAACAGTCTCTAAGGGGAAGAAACTCTACTCAGCATTTGTCGATTTTGAAAAATGTTTTGATAAGCTAGAAAGATGGTATACATTCATTTAACTTTTCCAAGAAAATGTCAGCTCTAGATTTGTTAAGGCGATTCAAAGTATGTTAATGTCTGTGAAAGCGGCAATTAAATACGAAAATTCTGTATCCAACTTTTTCGAATCTAACATAGGCGCAAAACAAGGGGATCCCAGCTCTAGCTTACTTTTTCTCTATTTCGTAAATGATTTAGTTAATAATATAAATAATAATATTGAAGGATTGTTTACCATCGATGAGATAAAACTTTTTGTTATTTTGTTTGCAGACGACGCAGTATTTTTTGCTCACACACCGGAAGCCTTACAGTCAATGCTCAATGATTTACAACTTTATTGTTTCAATTGGGGTATGAAAATCAATACAAAAAAGACAAAAATAATGATTTTTGAACAAGGAAGACATTCTTCTTACGATTTCAGACTAAATAACGAATCATTAGAAATTGTAACACAATTCAAATATTTAGGAGTGACTCTATTCAAGAACGGTCATTGGAATCGCACCCAAAAAACTCTTGCGCAACATTCCCTTTACGCTCTCCATAATTTATTTATTGTATTCAATCAGTTAGAATTAAAAGTCGTGGATAAATGCAAGCTTTTCGACAGTCATACTGAAGGAAACAAAATAGATTAAACTGTTCACCTTCAAGAAATTTGCAGACTATCCATTGATTTTGTGATTGTATATATGTATGTATGAATGAATGTATTAATGTAATTGACTATGTACTTTGTATACGTCAAAATAAACTTTCTGTTCTGTTCTGTTCTGTTCTGTTCTATACGGAGAGCTTGGTCGACATCCAATGAGAATTCAAAGAAAAATTATACTTGTTAAAAATTGGTTAAAGATTATAAATCTCGAAGAAAATTGTTTACTTAAACAAATGTACAACATACTTAAAATTGACCCTGACAACGAAACTTCATTTAGAGGGAAAAATTGGGCCTACCATATCAAATCTATTCTTCAGGAGATAGGGATGTCTAATCTATGGTTAACTCATACTGCTGATCAAAATAATTTTCATTTCTATAAAAAACAGAATTTTTGGACATATATAAACAAGACTGGTATAGAAAAATAAATAATTCAAGTAGATTATCTTCCTATTGTATGTTCAAACATGAATTTAATCAAGACTTATATCTAAGTGTTATAAATACGAATAAATTCAGAATAGCTTTAACAAAATTTAGACTGTCAGCACATAATCTTGCCATTAAAACAGGTAGACATTAAGGAACGCCTAGGGAAGAAAGAAAATGCCAAAAATGTACTATGAATGTAATTGAAAATGAGTTTTATTTCCTCCTTCTATGCCCAAATTATTATAACTTAAGGAAACAATATCTAAAACCATATTTTTGTAGGTGGCCTACTATTAAAAAATTCGAATTACTGATGACAGGTAGAAATCCTAAAGAAATTATCAATTTATCAAAATATTTATACTTTGCATTTCAAAAAAGAGAATTACAAAATTTAGAATAAAATAAACTGAAAATATATAACTTTTATAGAGGTTAATTTATTGTTCTATTCTGTTCAGTATTAATTGTTGTTTTGTACCATTCTTCTGTAAATTGTTAAATATTGTACAATGTTTGTAACACGTTTATCCCTTTTCATATGTAATTGAAAGTATATTGGCTATATGTATGCTCATGCTATTTTATGCCAAATAAGGATTATGTTATTTTATGTTATGTTATGTTATGTTATGTTATGTTATATAGCAGGTAATAAATTGTTCTAGAACAAAGTATGGTTATTCATCATATATTAAATGTTCATACTAATTCACTTAGAACTTTATCAACTTTTTCAAAGAATATAGTAAAAGAATATCCAAATGATGCATTTTTATTAGTTTTTTTATTAATATTTGAAATACGGGCAACTGTGCCCATTACAGACAAATCCTCTTTTAACCATGCACCAGGCTGTCTATCGTTAAGTAGCATTTATAATAGTGTTCGTTTGGCTTAAACGTTAACGGGCGTAAGTAAAATGACAAAAAATATTTTTTTCTTTTACTGCAGAATGGTTTGATACAGAATTTAGAATGACAGACAGTCGGACCAAAACTATATACCCCCGAATCATCCGATACGCGGAGAATAAAATATTTTTGCAGATTGGGCCTCAATAATTTCATTTCCGAAACTTAATGTGCATTTGATCAATATTTAAGCGATCTCCCATGTGAATTCCTAATTTGTCTTTTCAAAGAAAGCCTGTTAGGTTTTATAAACATTTTATTTACCAAGTTATTGGGTAAACAAGCTGTGTAAATCTATGAAAATAGAAAATCGATTTCAGTTAAGTTTCAATCTTTAAAAAAAACGGAAATAAAAGGATTTAGCGTAAACTTGTTAACTTGGTATTTTCACTGCTCAGATATCTGATCTATGGAGCACCACACTAAATACTGTATTCAGTCATTTACCGGACTGGGCACTTGAATGATTAAATGCAAAAATCTTGCTCTTTCACCGACCGAAATGCGCTTTAAGACGTTTCTTCACACTGATTTGTATACGAAAATAAATAAAAAATATAAGAATCGGTGAAAAAAGTAATGTTTTTGAACTTTGTGTTTATGCTTTTTTTTTAAATGTCTTCCGTAGTCATTTAAAGGTTTTTAAAGGTTAATATCTACAAAGTATATTTAATTGCTTTACATATATATTATCTGTGACAACGAATAACGAATAAAAAAGTAAAACAAAAAGATAAAATGTATAATGTTGTAATTACAGTTATTATCCTTGACATACATTCCAGAATAATATGAAACACTTGTTTTAATACATGTTCAAAAAGGCTCTCCAAATTCTTTAAGGAAACTATATTTCAAGATTCAAAACTTTCATGACCGACTGCCATTCAGAACATAGTTTCGATTAAATAGTTCATCCCGATTGTTATACGAAATTTCGGGATGTATTATGGTATGGCTTTGTCCGTCCGTCTGTTCGTTCTTACATGAGAATACTTATGTGCCTACAGGAACAAAACTTTCTCTTTGATGCCATTCATCATTCATCCCGTATCCTTTTATGTGGCTTTTTTTAACGTTACTAAAAGAACAATAGGAATAACAATAGAGTAGCCACGAATATACTGTCTCGCTGAAACATCCGTCAGTCTGTCCGTAGACAATTAGTTTCCACGGGGAAACTTTTGAAGAATTTCAATGATTGTGTTTAAATTTGACATGCATGTATATCTATATCAAAACAAAGATAAAGTTTGATTTTCGCTGCAGTCAACATATAATTGAAAGAGTAATAGCCTTTTTATGCATTTTCCCCGCAAAATTATTGGTTTCCGCAGGATAACATTTGAAGGTGTTTATATTTGTTTGCTTTTGGCTGCAACCAACATACATTGTATTATTGGAAAAGGAATGCCTCTTTTAAAGAAGATATTTTGTTCTCGCAGGATTTCAATGATTACATTTAGTATGCACGTAAGTTATGTCAAAATACAGGTAAAGTTTGATTTCCTCAGCTATCCATTTATTACAAAAATGAGTAATTCCCTTTATTTAAGAGAGAATACAACTACCGGTGTTTGTTGGCCCGCCTCAGCGGAGCACTTGTTTTTCAAAATTTCTGGAAGTCTCGAGTTTTCTTTTTCCTTTTAATATACAAATATAGAATCAATAAGAGCAAGTTAAATATTAACACAGCAGAATACTGTAAGACATTTGAGTCGTACAATGTATATCTGAGTAGAATATAGCATTCTTTGACAAAGTTCCCCTACACATCTCTTTAAACATAATTCGGAAAAAATGACGTGCGTCTGCCTAACTTTGGCCAGGGTTGCATAAGTCAACCATTTACATCACAGTTTTAATTCTCTAGAGTTATACTGCGACGCAAACACATTTTATGTGGAATTCTATGTCGACGCAATACAGTACGTTGATGTGTATTGTCATTTATTGTCATACATGTATGTAGGATGTACCAGGACGTAAAATTTGCGTTGTCATATGAATATACGCGAGACAGTACAAGCCACTTGGTATATATCCTATATCATCATGTAAGCTTAACCTCTTTTTGTTTTTATCTCATTTAACTCTTAGCCATTATATTCCTGTTCCGATAGTCCTGTTGACCTTGGTGGATAAACGAAGAATGCTCCATGTATCATTTTGATATGTACTAAACTGTGGCCGTAATATTTGACACTTTCGTTACCTTGGTAACATTTAGTGGTACATCTGTATTGCCAAACAATATTTCCCTTGACCTCTTTTCAAAAACAAGGACTTTGCCACCATTTCAATCCGGAAAGACTTCGGAGACATCTTTGAATTTACTAAAAGAATATATCTTGAGAATTGCGCTAAATATAGGCGTATTAGATTAAAAGGTCAGGTATGTGCCAAGGCAGTCCTTGTTAATTGTATGAGTATGCACGTTGATGCAGTAATTATTAAAACAAGGACACGTCAATGAACGCTTCAACGCAGGATTTGTCCTACATAGATTTACGCCAGGAACCTCGTTACATTGTGTAGAAAAACGTAGACCCACAATTAAGACTCTATGTATGACTAATGCGCATTATTATTATTTTTGGACAAACTAAATAACAGCCATGGCAGTTTTTTCTTGAGTAAATGCAGGATTTTAAACGACAGCACAGGACACTGTCGGGATATTGAGAAGTTCACCTACGAGTACTGTACGATAGCTTATTGTAGCGTCTATCGTAACTAGTAAGGATCTAAGGATTAATAAACATTTGAGAATTCAAAACTGATTAGTTTACACATAGTTTACACATAGTTTATTTCAAAGAAGGAATACAAGAGATGAATTATACATTTATGAAAGTAAGTAAGGTACATTAATAAAGGCAATGAGAGCAGAAAACTATACATAGCTTACAGAGATAATCTCCTAAGTTTATACAACAAGTTGTTTACATTATTTGTACTAAAATTTTCGTTTTACGAATACTTTTGGATTTACGTCGATGCTAAAGAATTACACTGCGTATTTATCAGAGTTGGCATAATGAGCTTTTAAGGTGCCATCTTTCTAGCATCTTAATAAGATTATAAAGACATTTATTCAAATAATGATCGATATCATTATAATGATTTCTGCATATTTTTTTGAGTAAAATATTTAAATCACGGAAAATTATTGAAATCTATAAAATTTTGACTAAAAATGTCTATCAATAAGAAAATAAATAAATAATGTATGGGAAGCTGCTTTCCCTATTACGTGTCAATCAAAGATGGTACTTTCTTATAAAGACTGCCATTTTTTTATATTCATATTGTGCCCACCCATTTGTGTAGAGTTTTAATTATAACATATCTACTTTGTGTGAAGTCAATTATGTTTATTTTATATTTACAAAGAGACTATAAAACAATTTTCTAACATCAAATTTGAGCATAGAACGGGTATATCTTTTAAAGCATATTCAGTGTAATGCTACAAAGGGGAAAAACAACAACAATTCTTTGAATATTTTATATAGATAGATACATAGCCTATAATAATGATTCTGAAAGAGATAATATTTAAAAGTGACTTTTGCTTTTTTGATAAAATATATTTCAAAACAAAAATCCATTTCGATTATCCAAATGCAATTGAATAAAAGTTCTAACAAGTCTTGAATGAAAACAAAAAGCAAACCATGAAAACTGCGGCGTCTGTTACACTTAAACAGACAATTATATGCAAAATGAGCTGATATAAAACAAAAGAAAACGAAGTTATAATCTATACAGGTAAGTACTTGCAAAAATCGTTTTTATTAGATGTCAGCTGTGGTTGTTTAAGTAAGTATCTTTCACTTGAAATGGCAATTTATATGACCGCGAATGATTCCGTGGCGTACACAATGGGACTTTAATTCTACACAAGCATTCAACCATCCACGTCTCACACATTTCAGTCCCCACAATGCACAAAAAGTGAACTCAGTGTCTGCACACCTAAAAGCCCTTTTTTGTCTGAGTCCTGAAAATAGGAAGAAACTTTAAATTATGTCGAATGATTAAATCAGAAATGATATCAGTGGACCAAATGTCTTTTATAAAATCATCATTGTACTAAAATAATTTAGTATATTCGTAATTTGCTTTAAAAAATAGTTTTCCTGACTGTACTGGCAATTCTTTCTATCCAACAATATTCAACGATAGACATTTCACATTTCTGGTCTATTTTGGGGTATTTGGAACTTGACCATACAGAATTTAATTGGACGATGATCTCATGAGATATATGATACGATCTTGTAGTATCCATGACAGTAAAATAGAAGTTATAGACCAATTTACTCTTGTATTGACTTTTTTTTATTATAATATATTATCCTATATTAACTATATAATCGATCGCTATATCTGTATCATCGTCGGATACCCACGACCGAACCATTAACATGCATCATTGATTGCATGTTAGGTGACATGTTTATCAATCGTGGGTATCCGACAATGTATCTGTATAGTCGTATCGGATAAATCTCGAATACAAAATTGCTACAGATTTTCTTCTGTCGGCTAATATACATGTATCTTCCCATCCGGTCGTAATAGCAAACAAAGGAAACGAAATTTATGAACACTTTATTGATGTTTAAATTTAATAATCTTACCGTTTTCTGATTCACTCTCATGGTCCATGTCAGGCTTAAGACATTCTGTCGGTTTTACGAAGACAATGTCACGGTTTTTACATTCTGTGAGGTCGGCTGGTATTTTGTCTTGCATGTCTATAGCAGGTATACGTTTGAAACAATGTGGAGGATCATCGTCCTGATTTGATATCAAAGTCAAGTTTTAGAAAAGCATTTTGTTGTTAACTTATTTTGTCAAACAAAGCGCTTCCTTTAAAATGAAGTCATAGTCAATATTGTGTATATTATATAAAAAAAATATATAATTTTTATTGCGACTAAACTCATAGAAATATATATTTGTTAAAAAAATTACAACAGTTAAGAAGTAGAATTGCTTTAGCAAACTTGATATTAAGGTTTTATAAGTGTTCATGATATATAAATCATTGATCATATATATCTAATACAGTTTAAAAAGACCTAATTAATTATATCCAAATCAATATCTTTAAAGCTATTTTTTCGCGTTTTACAAAATGTTTTCTTTGAATCTCGAAAGGAACAACTACAAAATACGCGTATGAAAGAAATACACGTATGAGTGTATATTTTCTTTTGAGCGAATGATGCATGCATAAAATCGTAACCGAAAAGTTGAAAACCTTTATAAAGTAGCAGCATTATAATTTATTCCGGAACATTTTATTCTGTTTACATATATTTTTCCATGTATGTATGTACTATTTCCATGCAGAATTTGCCATAACGATATGATACGTTTGACCTAATTAATCATTAAATGCACAATTTAAATTTGAGAAAATATACATATTATCTACATGCATTTATTTATTTCCTACACTTAATGAGTAGACAGGATAGACATACCACTTGATTGTTCATTTAATACAATATTTATTAGAGGACAAGATAAAAAAAAATACAAATTATAAAGCATACTGTTTATTATATAGTGCATGCCTAATTAATTCTACAATGCACTACTAATATTTGATAAGATATAAATATTACCTTATCGACAAATGGTGAGACGAGACAGATGTTTTCGTCTACAGGTTTTCCAAGTTGATATCCCTGAGGTAATTAAATGTTTACAGTTACTTTCATTATCATTTGTATATGTTTAAGGTAAGGAATACTAGTTATCGTAATTATCGTTACAATACAATGTGACTCGACTGTTACATTAAATATATAATGAGTTAAAATATATAATACTACAGAACATCAAAACTATTATAAACAAATGGTGTGTAGTGATGTAAGTGTTTTTCTTGCTGTGCAAAGTATTATTAAAACCGATTCATATATTTACCACAAATGATATTTTGAGTGTCAATAAACGCCGATATTTTGTTGCCAATGTTTTTAAAAGTAAAGTTTAAAAAATGTAAAGTATAAAAAATGTGTATTCAATTTATCTGTGAAAATTAAAACAATATACAGTTGCTTACCTCATTATCAAAGACATCTATTTCCGTGACTTTTTTGCCAGTAGTCTTGTCTTTAATAATTAAAATCTTCTCATTTCCCTTTTTATGCGACTCGGCTATAAAGAGCTAAAATGAAAATCATTTCATTTACTAAAGTTGCACAATTTCAGGCATATAATGGTTAATTAAATAACATTGTAGACATTTTTGGAGATACCACAAACCAATAATCATGTGCAAATATTTATTCATTTTTAAATAAACTATTATGTTTTATGTCAAATATGAAGATAATTTACGAAAGACGGTGGGGACATTTCAACTTCATGTATTCCCGATTTCATCTTCGTGAATTCACAATCTTACCTTCGTGAATGCATGTTCTTCACACACGGCTTACGAATTCAAGATTTCAACTTCACGCATTCACGATTTCAACTTCAAAAATTCACGATTTCAGCTTCACGAATTCACGATTTCGATTTCACGATGAAGTTTAAATCGTGAATTCGTGAAGTTGAAATTGTGAATTTATGAAGATGAAAATGGGGAATTCATAAAGTTGAAATATCCCGACAAGTCTTTCGTAGATAATAAGCAACTCACACTGTCCTCCTGACAAAGTGAAGAGCACAACATTCCTGCCAGAATTAATGCACCAAATAACTGCATGGTCATTTCGTTTGAAACTTGCCTACAAAAAGATAAATGCATAGATGATCAAAACTATATTCTCATTTTTTAATATATACATTAAAAATTAAACATTCAATTATATATATTATGTGTTATTTTTAAAATGTTATTCTTATTATTCATTGTCCGGCTTCATACTTGAATATGTATTATTAAAGAACTTATATCTAAGAAATGTTTGAGACTTTATAGTACGATATCGTTCTTTACCGTATACCGTATTTCATTTGACCGATGGCAAATAAAGTTAATGAGCAAATGATAATGATAATGATGATGATGATGATGATGATGATGATGATAATAATAATGATGATAATAATAATTATAATAATAATAATAATAATAATATATCATCATCATCATTTTTATTATTATTTTTATTATTATTATTATTATTATATTATTATTATCATTATTATTATTATTATTATTATTATGTGGTGTTAATGATGATAACAATGATGATGATGATGATGATGATGGTGGTGGTAAGCACTTCTAACGTCAATATGCTATCAGTTTCCTGATACAATTTTTATATTGAAATTTTGTTTGTAAATATTGAAGAAGAAATACATAATTTATTATTGTTGAAGCAAACTCTTGTCTTAAATTTCATTTAATTCATTAAAATAATTTCATTTAATTCATTAAAGTTATATTTTATGAAGTAAAACAGCAATGAAAATAAAATAAATTCATACTAAACACTTAAAATTTTACAATATAAAAGACATACCTGTTAACTCTTTAAAGATGATCCTCCGTCGTATTTTGCTAAAGACGTTTCTGCGCATCTTTTTATTGAGTTCCTATTTTTTCTTCCTAATACAGATTAGCCAATCAGGTACAATCAAAGTATTTCTCATGTTCCCCTTTTAAACTGTTCTATGAAATGCCAAAACAAATGCGTAAAAGAACTATTCAAAATATGACATTACTTACTCCTTTAAGTAGAAACATATCAGGAAGAAGAAAGACGTTGTCTTATTTTTTCAATTTTCAATATACATACTTAAATATAGTTTCAAAACTTCTTATGTTCTTACTCTCTTAAAGATATTATCACTTAACGTGGTAATAATTTGTACTCATGTGTTAGCTTAGTTCAAGTTGTATGTCAAAATATATAACACATGTTCTTTTTATTTTTAATTTATAATATAATAACATAAAATATAATAATATAATATGATGATAGTAATAAGAAGAAAGTGTATCAAGTATATTTATATTAAAATGCAGTACGTTTCCATGAGATAATAAGTACATAATTATTAATCTTTCTTTTTCAGACAACTCTTAGATTATACACCAAGGTAAAGAATACCAAATTAACTGTCTAAATACATACACTAAATTAAAAAAAAAACGTCAAAATCAGTTGATAAAAGATGATACTGCCAGTCCACTCTATAGAACAGCTCATTAAAAATAATGAAAAGATTGCACTACCAGCAGCGACTTGTTCAAGCGATTTCCTAGGGAGTGATAGGTTTATCCAGGAGTGATACACTGTGAAAAAAAATCATAAAATTTTTTACTGCACATTCTTTTTTATATTTTTAAAAATCATCATCAACAACAAAAGCAACAACAAAAAAACCCCAAAAAACCCACAACTTTGGAATAAATAATATTGCTTACTTGTACTGTGATGTCATAAGTAGTTTAAATTTTATGAGGAAAACTATTTTAACAATTATGATTGTGCTTATCTAATTTCATATTCTTTATATTTTGTGAAAGTTATGTCACGGACGCTTTTTACAACAAAATGGTAAAATATGGTAAGATACGTATACTGTTCTGTTTAAAACAAAATAAAGTATACTTTTTGCGACGCGGTTTGTTGCTATGAAAAATCGACCGGATGTAATTCTCATGAAGTGAATTGAAGAAAATACACAAATTTAAAGTGAATTGGTCCACAATGGAAAGTTTGTTACATTTAATATACATGTATATATACAAAATAACCCAAAGGTGTTTTCCTCCTTCATTGATCTAAAAAAATGCTTTGACTTTATTGACCGAGAAATGCTACTTTACAAACTATTGCTGCACAAAATTGATGGAAAGGTGTATAACTCAATACGGAATATATATGCAAACTCATTATCATGCATTCGGATCAATAATAAACTTACAGACTGGTTTCAATGTGAAACAGGTGTAAAACAAGGCTGTCCACTGTCGCCTACATTATTTGCAATTTTTGCTAATGACTTAGTAAAAGAAATAAACGATCTGAATATAGGCATTAAAGTAGGTGACACATATGCTTCCATTTTGATGTACGCAGATGATATTGTGTTGCTTGCGGACTCCGAGGAGAAACTTCAGACCATGCTAAACACATTACACAATTGGTGTAAACGCTGGAGGGTTTTAATTAATACCTCGAAATCAAAATGTATGCATTTCAGAAGGGGTAGGGCACAGAAAACAAACTTTGAATTCAAAATTGGTGACAATATACTTGAACTTGTTGACTCATACAAATACTTGGGTGTAATATCAAATTAAATGTCTTAACACATACACTAAGTTAAAAAACGTCAAAATCATTTGAAAAAGAAAATACTGTAAGTCAACTCGATAGAAACGGCTCATTTAAAATAGTGAAGAAAAAATGCATCACTAGCAGCGACTTGTTGCAATGATTTCCTAGCGAGTGTAAGTTTATCTCAACACACTGAAATCTGTAAAAAATATAAATTATATATTGCTCATTCTATTTTATATTTTTAAACATCAATAATAACAACAACAAAAAAGAAAGAATAATACTGCTTAAATGACCGACTGGGGACCGAACGTCTGTGTAACTTGCCAGTAATGATGTGATGTTTTTAGTAAATTTATGTGGGATGCTTTGCTTGAATTTTTTTTAACAATTATGATTGCACGTCCTTTTTATTTTGTGAAAGTTATGTTATGCACGCTTTTTATGACAAAATGGTAAAATATACTGTTCAGTTTAAAACAAAATAAAGGATAGAGCTTTTTAAGATGAGTTCGTTGCTATGAAAAGTCGGCCAGCATACTTCTCATGAAACGAGTTGAAGAAAATACACACTTTTAAAGTGAATTCGCCCTTAATGGAAGGTCTGTTACATTTTGTTTACTACCATAAATAATAATGTTGATTATATTAAATATCATATAAGACAAAACAAACAAGGACATAATTTTGTTGGTAAGTGTAGAATTTATGGTTTGATATGACATATGTATAACAGATAATTCATCATATTAACAATCGTACTAAATCACTTAGAACTATGTCAACTTTTTAAAAAAAATACTAAAAGAATATGCAAATGATACATTTAAATTGTTTGTGTTTAATCAATTTTTGAAATATTTACGGAAAACTGAGCCCATGATAGACAAATCCTCTTTAAACTATGCACCAGACTGTCTATCGCTATTATAGCAAATATATAAGTGTTCGTTTGTCTTAAAGGTGCGTAAATAATATTTTAAAGAAAACTGCCTGAAAACAGAATATTTTTCATTTTCATTTTCAGTTACTGCAGAATTGTTTGATACTGAATGTAGAATGACAGACAGACGGACCAAAACAATATACCCCCGAATCATCTGATACGCGGAGAAAAAACACTTTTGCAGCTAAGGCCTCAAACATTTCATTTCCGAAACTTTATGTGCATTTTATCAAAATTTAAGCGATCTACCTGGTCTTTTCAAAGAAAGCCTGTTAGGTTTGATAAACATTTTGTTTACCGAGTTAATGGACAAACACGCTGTGTAAATCTATGAAAATAGAAAATCCATTTCAGTTGTTCAAAAAAACGGACTTTGGTTAGATAGCACCACACTAAATACTGTATTCCGTTATATACCGGACTGGGCACTTGAATGATTAAATGCAAAAAATCTTGCCTGTTAATCTACCGAAATGCACTTTAATTAAGGCGTTTCTTCACACTGATTTGTATACGAAAATAAATTAAAATATAAGAATCGGCGGAAAAAAGCAATATTTTTCTACTTTGTGTAAATGATTTTTCTAACTGTCTTCCGTAGTCATTTAAACGTATTTAAAAGTTAATATCTACAAAGTGTATTTTCGTTGCTTTACATATATATTATCTGTGATAATGAATAACGAACAAAAAGATAAAAAAAGTATAATATTGTAATACAGTTATCATCTTTGACATACATTCCGGAAGAGCATGGAATTTTGTGTTAATACATGTCAAAAAGGCTCTCCGAATTCTATCAGGAAACTATATTTCAAAAATTCAAAATCGTGCCTGCTGAGTGTCATCCAGAACTAAGATTTGATTAAATAGTTCATCCAGATTGTTATACGAAATATCGGGATGTATTATGGTATGGCTTTGTCAGTCCGTCTGTCCACCTGTTCCTTCTTACATGAGAATACTTATGTGCCTGCAGGAACAAAAGGGAACTGCACTTTCTCTTTGATACTAATCATGATTCATCCCATCTGCTTTTATGTAACTTTTTTCTTTAATAGGACAAAAAGAACAAATGGGAATAACAATGGAGTAGCCACAAATATACTGTCTTGCTAGAACATCCGTCAGTCTGTCCGTAGACAATTAGTTTCCGCGGGAAAACTTTTGAAGGATTTCAATGATTGTGTTTAAATTAGGCATGCATGTATGTTTATTAAAAAATAGATGAAGTTCGATTTTCGTTGCAGTCAACATAAAATTGACAGAGTATTGTCCCTTACTTAGCATTTTTTCCGCGAAATTATTGATTTCCAAAGGCTAACAATCAACAAACATTGTATTATTGAAAAAGTAATGCCCTTTTCCGCAGGATTATAATGATTATGTTTATATTTGGCATACATGTAGGTTATGTCAAAACGCGGGACAAATTTGATATTGTCAGCTATCAATTCATTATAAAATGAATAATTCCCTTTATGTAATAGAGAATGCAACTACCTGCGTATGTTGCCCAACCTCAGCGGAGCTCTTGTTTTTTAAAATGTTTTGAACTTTCGAGTTTTCTTCTTACTTTTGATATACAAACATAGAATTAATAAGAGCAAATTAAATATCAACACAGCAGAATACTGTAAGACTTTCGAGTCGCAAAATATATATTTGAGTAGGATATAGCACTCTTTGACATATTAAAATTCGAAAAAATGACGTACGTCTGCCTTGCTTTGGCCATCCCTTTACATCACAGTTATAATTTTCTAGAGTTATTCTGAGACGCAAACACATTTTATGTGGAATTCTATGTCGACGCAGTACAGTACGTTGATGTGTATTGTCATACATGTATGCAGGTTGTACCAGGACGTATTTGCGTTGTCATATATACGCGAGACAGTGCAAGCTACGTGGTATAGAGCCTATGTCACCATGTAATCTAAACTTCTGTTATTTGTTTTTATCTCATTTAAATCTTAGCCGTTATATTTCTGTACCGATAGTCCTGTTGACCTAGGGTAAAACGAAGAATGCTCTCTGTACCATTTTGCTATTTGCTAAATTGTGGCCGTAACTTTTGACACTGTCGTTACCTAGGACATCTGTATTGTCAAAAAGCATTTCCTTTGACCTCTCTTGAAAAACACGGACTTTGCCACCATTTCAATCCGGGTAGACTTCGAAGACATCTTTGAATTTACTAAAAGAAGATATTTCTGAGAATTGCGTTTAATATAGGCGTATTAGATTAAAAGATCAGGTATGCGCCATGGCAGTCTTTGTTAATCGTATGAGTATGCACGTTGATGCAGTAATAAAAACAAGGACACGTCAATGAACGCTTCAACGCAGGATTTGTACTACGTAAATTTACGTCAGAAACGACATTACGTTGTGTAGAAAACGAAGACCCACAATTAAGATTCTATGTATGACTAATGCGCAGTATTATTATTATTATTATTGGACATGCTAAAAAACAGGCATGGCAAATTTTTTCTTAGGTGAATGCAATACTTTAAACGACAGCGCAGGGCACTGTCGGGATTTTCAGAAGCGCACCTTACGAGTACTGTGACGATAGCCTGTGATAGCGTCCATCGTAACTAGGAAGGATCTAAGGATTAATAAACATGTGAGAATTCAAAACTGATTAGTTTACACATAGTTAACACATAGTTTACACATAGTTTATTTCAAACAAGGAATACAATAGATTATTATTATTATATACCAAACTTCTTAAGCACTTTTTTCATGCACATTGACACGTTCAAAAGTACTGTACAGTTAAACGAAATAAATAATACAATAATAAAAAAAATAATAATACAATAGATGAATTATACATTTATAAAAGTAAGGTACATGAATAAAGGCAATGAGAGCAGAAAACTATACAGAGCATACAAAGATAATCTCCTAAGTTTATACAACAAGTTGTTTACATTATTGGTACTAAATTTTTTCATTTTACGAATACTTTTGGATTTAAGTCGATTTTAAAGAATTACAGTGCGTATTTATCATAGTTAGCTATTATCACATAGAATGAAGAGAATAAAGTAGACTAAAGACTGGCTTAACTGGAAAATAAACAATTTTTTAATTTTTATATTAATTTTCCTAATATTTCCTACATTGTCCTAATCTTAAAATTAATTTTTAATAAATGTAACTGCTCGATTTAACTAACCTGTCGATAATATAACAGTCAGTTTATTACAACGGCTATATTCGGCCTTATATCACGAGGTAGCAGATTCGAGTCTTATTTCATTTCCAAAAAATTTAAAAAACAAAACAAAAATGTAGATTAAAAATAATGATTCACAGCAAACTTAGCAAAACATTATCATCAAACCCAACATCGCAACTGATCAAACTAGGGTTAGAATATATGTTGTATTATCTAAGATATGGTAAATATTTATTTTCAGAAAGCAGAACCAAATGCGTATAAATTAACTTACAAATCAAACAACAATTAACACCATTTGAATTAATACGTATTTGACAGGTTAATAAAATCGGACAACACTGTCATATATATAATTTACACGTGACCATCGGCCTCAACGTCAGTGGTCACTTGTGCATAAACAATACATGAATATATCATGTAAGTTATAAGTAAAGAAATGAAACAAAATCTATTCAAATGCAAGTCCGACATCTTTCCACGTCACTTCCTGTGCGTCACTGTCGTCTTCATCGTCTTGGTCTGTGTCGGATAGTTTCATTTCTTTTACCGGGGTAACATTTTCTAATGGTGCAACTTCCCCTTTCTTTTTCCTACAAATGAAAGCCTTTTCTTATAAAAGACGGAATGTTGCCTTCCCTCTCGTAGATCTGCAAAGACAATATGCTCATGATCATAATTGCTCCACTGTATGCAAGGAGGAACAGCATATAAAAGAATAGGTAGGCTACAGGATCGGAACTTGCCGGAACTATTCCGTTAACCATCGTCATAAAAACGACGAACGCAAGGAACGCTGTAACTGCAACGGAAGTTCTTTCTCCTGCGGACGCTGGTATCAGGAAAACGAAACAATTTAATGAACCGACGAGAAAGACCGGGATGATCACGTAGACGATCATGAATGTGTCACGCCTCTCGATGTAGACGTCGAAACGAAGTACAGAATTGTTGCCACGAGGTGGGTAAGAAATAGTGTGTTTTGAGATTTGCCATAATCTGTTGCGATGGTAATAGTCAAAGGCAATTTCATTTCGATCAGAATTCAAAATCATTTCATCCTTAGAGAAAGCCCATGCTGAAATGAAAAAATTAGTATTATTAGCTAAGTATTTATAATTTATCAATAAAAAAACATTTGCACGTTTTCAAAAGGTGTCAGAAATAGCTACATGTATATTCTGAAGAAAGAAATATTAATCACATCTTTTATATACGAGGACTGTCCCATAAAGTCGTGGCAATGTCTGTAACACAAAATTATAACAAAAAAGAGAAAATAAGAATCCCTAAAGAAAGCCCAACACGTCAAAATTAAAAATATGGCAGGCTCGGTTTGATTGAGCCTGTTCATGGACAGTATTGTCAAGTGATAACTACCGTCCACGCCCCCTAGCACAGGCTTAAGCAGAAATTCAACATTTAAACATGAAATGGTAAAATTTTGAATTTAGAAACATCCGCAGATGTGTTCATACGGCGGTTATCATGGAACCTTCAATGTTACACAATAGTGCCATTCCATGAAAAACGGCGTATGGTCCCCAAGTAATAAAAAAGCTTGTGCCCTAAACGAGAAAACAATGGGCGGAACTAAACAAAATGGAATTTTGAAAGGGGATCAGAGGTTACGAAGCCTGCATATCCAAAGCTAAAACGTCAAAAGACAAGTTTAAAGTTCTTCGTATTAAATTTTGTCAATATTTAACTAAACAGTTGCATTATTCTTTTTGATGTGATTTTATTTTGAAATATTATTGCACGACTCGACTTTGCGTTGAAAAGCAACTTAATGTACCGGTCGAAAATAAGTAAAAAGTAACTTAATCAACCACTGACTTTCTGCTTCCGTGAAATTAAAGACGCACACCCCTGTTCAGAGTAAACTGATAAATGGTTTATATTTGGAAAGCAAACGACCTAACGTCAACGTCTCAACTAAAATATGAAAATTAAATGTACAAACATACCTGAAAAATCAATTTTGCATTTCTGGACGTCGAACGGAAAGTACAGAACATACACAGAGCACAAAAGGTACAAAAGTTGAGCCGGTTTCCACGTGACAACCCCATCCGACGTCACACGAACATACTGCTCATTCTCTACTTCAAATAAATCGTAAGCATTCAGGATGTAAACTTGTGGCGTCCATATTTTGCTTGGCGGGAACATCATCGAGGTAAGACCGCCATACTTGGAGCTGTCCCAGACTAAACGGCTGTCAACCCAGCTCATCGTTATCATTGACGTCATATCAAGCTCGCCATTGAGCTCGTCGAACCGGTTGATGCTCACTAAGGAAAGTGAAAAATTCACTACCTGTATGACATTTGTTTCTTCAGGTCGGATGTCTTTATTGTAACCTTGCTGTAAGTCATCGTACAGTTGATTCTGATTTGTAATGTTTGCAGCTCTGCATAGAATAAAACTGGTTAAAACAAAAGCCACAACAATATGCTGCAAGAAGTTCAACCCTGTCATTGTAATGTGTCTAATGCGCCGGTAAAAGTTCGAATATTGTTAGAATGCACCATACTGCCTTATATACGCTTGCATTGCTTGAGAATGTAAATAAATGAAATGGAAATGATAAAAGACTGAATACACTAAAATGAAACATTGTTGAAATAACAAAAGCACTCATCAAATTGTAAATATAAGGGTTATATAATTACCTTTAAGTCTATAATTTTGTAAATCTTTCACGCGGCATTCCATGTGACTATAGTTCAGACATTGTGACGTAGTTTAGTTATTAGGCCCAGTATTTGAAAAATACAGCGTCCAGCATGTTCGAAGAAATTTACTATAATGATATTGACGTATCATTTATTTAGTTATATTTGTAAATCTGTGTAAATACAAAATCCATTTGAGCAATATTTCCATTCTTTCATAGACGGAAGTAAACTAACTTTAAGTAAACTAGTTTATTTTCATGGCACTGATTGCCGACTTTCTGTAACTTCCGATGTCATTAAAACGTTATGTCGTTTCATAACTTCCATTATATAGTTTTTCATTAAATCACGCTCATTCAGTGACCTCCGTGCGTGATTACATAAAAGGTCATGTTTATTGTTGCTTCTAATTCAGCTTGATAATTACATTTATTAAGCATCATAATTATTGAATGAAAATTTGAAATGTTTGATAGAATTATTTTGTGTTTGTTTGTCTATATATTTTCTTTATTTTATTTATCTTTTTATTAAATAGAAATGCATTGTGCTTTAATAAAAAAAAATGTTTTGAGCCAGCAAAGACCTTGTTAGTTCATATTCTAAGTTGATATTAAAGTTCAAACACTTGAAAGTTATATAAAACTGTTTAAAAATCAATATTCTCTACAAGTCGAAAGAAGTACGTAGTTTGAATTTTACTCGGAGAAGGGTCAATGAATATGGGGGTGGGGGATGTCGTTGTTGAGAGCGGTGGCGAGCAGGATGAAACAGGGTGGTAGTGAAATTCATGTGAGCCGCGTCACGACAAAACCAACATAGTGCGTTTGCGACGAGTTTGGATCCAGACCAGCCTGCGCATCCGCGCAGTCTGATCAGGATCCATGCTGTTCGCTTTCCAACCCTATTACAAGTACAGAAACTAATAGCGAAAAGCATCCTCGCAGGCTGGTCTGGATCTATGCTGGTCGCAAACGCACTATGTTGGTTTTGTCGTGACATGGCTCATGTATATATTTGAAATACGCTTGATCATATATATCCTTGCACTTAACAACATTTAAAACATGGAAAGCTGTCAGATACGTTTATTTTAAATATATTTGTTATTTTTATTTTCTTTGTATTGTAACATACTGATGTACTGATACATATAGCCGAGTTGATTTTGATAAAAACATGGAATTTTCATTTATCGTTGTAATTTTAATTCTATTGGTAGATTTTAGTCTTGATTTAGTCTTTAGAAATCTTTGTTCGTTACTGGTTTCTTGCACTTCACGTGGAAGCTATACGAGGTGAAATAAACCGCCTTATAAGAAGTTTTGGTACAGTGTCACAAACCATCGCCTACGAATATGCGAAAATCGTCCAACAGTGAATAAATATTCCCAAATGTCATGAAAAAGATTGGGTCACATTCGAGCGACAACGCTGCCAGTTTGAAATCAACAGTCAGCTTAGGGTAGGCATACGATATTAGATTAATTTTCAATGATACTTTTATTTTGCGACATTGGATTATAACGCACTGCGAGTTTATTAAAGTTTGTGTTTCTTGTGAAATTTAATACATTATCAGGTCTCTCAACTGTTTTCATTAAAAAATTTCAGCATAATCATGCCAAAATTTACACACATGTGAGACTATTAATTTTATACCTGCACACTTATAAGAATTGTTAAGTGTACATTTGTAAAATTGTTTCCAGAGTGATTTCTTTAATTTTCATACTTTGTACACATAATGTACTGTATAAGTAAAATGCAGTAGTCCCATAAAAAGTATTAAATGAGTGTATGTGTAATACAAAACACACTGAACAAAATTATAAATGCTAGTCTCTGGCGAGTATAATATTTATTTATTCTAAGAGTGAAATAAATTTAGTATTGAACATACATAGAGGATATTGTGTGAGAGAAGGTTCATTACCGAATTTATTGAACGTGTTGAATAAAATTATATTATGCGATACTCTGGCATAATATTATTGTATTCAACGAGTTCAATAAATTTAGTAATAAATTTCATGAATCTAATATTCTTTTTATCACATACCAAAAATAAGGATTGTTTAAAGTGAAAAAGAATAACTTTCATCGACGCGCTTATAGTGTAACATTTAGCGCGTCTTTACACAATGTCTATAAACGCAAATGAATTCACGTTAAAATAAACGCACGGCTGTGCAATACCATTTTCAAAGGGTCGCAAAATGATAAACTCATTTAATGTTCAATTTATTAAATATCCAACATGCTGTTCAATTTCCAAAATAAGCTTTCAGATGAAATCGGGGAACCAGGCTAACGGTCAAAGTAAATTGGTCTATAACTGAAAATGTGTATCATCAATAATCAATGTGATAGTTTTAAGTAGCATACCTTAAAACAAACCACCAAATAATTATATGAGCCGCACCATGACAAAACCAACATCAGCATGGATCCAGACCAGCCTGCGCATCCGCGCAGTCTGATCAGGATCCATGCTGTTCGCTATCAGTTTCTCTACTTGTTATAGGGTTTGTAAGCGAACAGCATGGATCTGGTCTGGCTCAGGCTGGTCTGGATCCATGCTGGTCGCAAACGCATTATGTTGGTTTTGTCGTGACGTGGCTCAAATTTATCAATTTATAGCAGATAATTGAATGATGTTATAATTCACTATATAAATGTACTACTTAATCATTCTAGATATCTAGATATATAAACATTTTTATTTCCAGGTATATTTCATAAGAATATGAAAATGATACATTTTGTATGGTTGTTGATTGATATATGAAATACTCGTGGAATGTGCCCATTGTAAACCAATTCGCTTTAAGGATTTAAATACAATAGTAAGCATTTTGATTTATATTTTACGTCAACATACCTTAAAGTTTATTTGTAGACGTAACAGTCATTATGATGTTTGATTAGTGATGCATAAGTTTGACCTATTTTTCAGACCTGAAAACTTCAGCTCCGCATTAATCTTGTTACACTGGTTGCATATAGTCAAATGGGTGCTGCTAAAAATCATAGATGAAAAACAAGTTATTTCAAAGCCTACTAAAAGTATAGTTCAATGTTGAAGTCATTAACGGAAACTTATCATATTATCTTTGTATAACCATGGAACTATTGTTATTTGTTGTTGTTTTTTTTATTTGTAAGAAAGAATTACATATTATGTAAATTAAAGAGTTTGGACCGATTTCTGTTTATGTCGCTCGGTTTCATTCGTTGCATAATCCTTGCGTATTTCTATATAACTAGTTTTCCAACAATTTATGTGTGCAGTCCTCATTTCAGACCTATCCTTTACTTACACTATATGACATTGTCTAATGATTATTATACCGGTGTGTAAGAATTAGAAAACTATGATAATTATAAATCTACATAATTGCTGTAAGAATACTCACACCTCTAGATCACAGCCATTTTTATATCATTTAACTTGTACATCTCTTCATAAATAAATAAACCATCCGTCTCTATAGAATTGCGGAAACAAACGATTGAAATCTATTTCAATACATTGAGATTCGATTCATTGTCGCATATACCAAACAGATACACCTAGAACGAACATCAAGCCCGACCATTCATCGATACATTGTGACCGACAACTTATGCAAACCCTTAGTTTGAAATTTGATTTTTTAGACCCCTGTCAACCCTCAGTAATTTTTATAATTGACGCAAGAATGTAGCATCCGCGACAATTATAAACGTGTTTTCATTGACTAAAAAAGTGACCCTGACCTTTGATCTGAAAATGGATGTGGCAGATAGGACTCCTCAATGTGCATCCACAAATAAAGTTTTAGTAAAATAGCTTTGTTAGTATTTTGGTCATTCTCCACAAACGAAAACTTGACCAAAAAGGTTGATCAACACCGACGTCGATGTTGACGAGTGGGTCATGACAAATTTTTCTTCAGATTGTAGCTTAAACAATGGGGTCATACGATGTGCGCGCATCCTCATAATTCGGACACACTATAATTTATATAATATTTCACCAGTTTGGGATATTTTCATTATTTGTATTATAATACAAAATTGAAAAAAAAATCGATGTTTGGCTAAAATTTTATTCTAAATTCGCTTGTAAAACATGGAAAGAATGTTTGTGCATGTCGGTCGTGCATACGGAAAAAATATTTGTCAGGTATCATTGGCCTGTTTTATTATTTTATTAGTCAAGCTCATCCGAAAGATATGACCATTTATTTTTCTTCATGATGCATATAATGGTCTCATTGGCCTCCCGTGCATCAAAATAGTATCATCATAAACAATCTACTAGTATCATTTGAGCCGCGTCATGACAAAACCAACATAATGGGTTTGCGACCAGCATGAATCCAGACCAGCCTGCGCATCCGCGCAGTCTGATCAGGATCCATGCTGTTCGCTATTAGTTTCTCTACTTGTTATAGGGTTTGCAAGCGAACAGCATGGATCCTAATCAGACTGCGCGGATGCGCGGGCTGGTCTGGATCCATGCTGGTCGCAAACGCATTACGTTGGTTTTGTCATGACGCGGCTCAAATGATACTAGTAGATTGTTTATGATGATACTATTTTGATGCACGGGAGGCCAATGAGACCATTAATTATATGCATCATGAAGAAAAATAAATGGTCATATCTTTCGGATGAGCTTGACTAATAAGATAATGCAACAGGCCAATGATACCTGACAAATGTACCATATACGGATTTTCTGTCCAGTTAGTTTTATTGTTGTAGATGATGTTCTTTACTGACGAGCAAAATGGATTTGACATACCCAGGTTGGAATTTACTGTCTTGTATTACGTATCTTATTAGAATTAACAAAATTGCTATCTGTTCTGTCAAATTAATACATCTTCATAAATAAACTCACATACAAGAGATGAAATCAAGGATTGGTCGGCACTTTTTTAACATTTTCTATAATTTTACACAGGAAATATCAAACTAAATTTTAGCGTGAAAGTGCTTTACTTTCCTCTACATAGATGTTCATTCTCGTGACCTAGCTAACTCGTTATTGTGACAATATTGATCAATCTTCAATAGGAAGTCGTGGAAACGAGACATTACGTTCCCAAGAAAGAGATAACATTCTACGTGCTTTATGAGGTAAATAATGTACATCGTATCTAAGAATGACAACTACGATATCAACTATTGTAATGTCGCGTAAGATTTACTTCCCCTGATCAATTTATATCAAACAACAGAATAATAGGCGAAAAGTCCGAGCGGGGCCACATAACCCGGAAGGGCTGTAGCGCTCTTAAAAATATGTATGACTTGTTAAATGACGATGTTAAATTTAAATCACGTTAAAATCAATAAAAACAAATATAAGTCTAAGTCTAACATATTTGGGAAAAATGCTTAGTTAGCTGCATGGGCGCCGCCATTTTTAAAATCTTGGACTGATTCTATTTTTGAGCTTTAATCAGATTTCAGGACGCTTTTGAAAAAGATAAACATTTAATAAAAGCGCCTACCAAATTCAGAATGTTGCTTGAAGACGCGACAGTCTTCTGTCCTAAATTACACTTCCCGTTTTATACGAAGAAGTATGATGCAGAAAATCAGTAAATAAATAGATCTTTTATTATTACTATTGATTAGAACTAAAGTAACGATGATTAACATTAAAAGTTACTTTTAAATATTCATTTTGAATAATCATTGCATTTAAATCGCATAAAATAAGGGATTAACAAAAAAGCCAGACGTGATACTCGGAAATATTCGGGACACTTCGATGCGATGACATATTAAACTCCACCAATATATTCATATATAAATTAACCCATTATTTACGTATTCCAAGACAGATCTGGTTTATGTATTGAAAATATTATGCTTGTTTTGAAATCATAGGCGCTTTCCGCGTCATAGGTAGCACCTTATATTTAGAATATTGCAAATGTTACTTTGATGTTATAGAAACATTCATATTACATGTGTACAGCAGTTGACGATAGCTTTTTTTACAAAATTTGATATACAAAAACAAACATTTTTCTATTACATTTGTATTTGTATATATGCAACAATTTCATTATAAGATTTAACCAAACATCACGATATCTAAAAAATGTTTTCGTTTAATTATAACAATAAACAATAATACCAAACAACTTTCAAGGAAGCATTTCGACGAATGACAAATCACCATCTGTATTGAATCTATCTAAACAATCATGGTAACCCGGATGTTTACATGGTAAAAAAGTATCTGCTGTATAGTCCATCATTTTATCAGCATGTTCACCGCCACTGAATCTCCAATGTTCAGCATGTCTACTATATTTCTTTCCCCATATCTATTTCTAACACTAAGACCGGATTTCTCGGGACATTCACCCATTGTCCCGTCCAGGATAATCTTTGTTGGTGATAATCCATCCTTTATTAGTAGATCACTGTCCAACACTGCCCTTCCATGAGATCACCATATTTACGCTCTTGTTAGAGCCCCCGGGAGAATATGGGTATCTTTTCTCTTTCAGTTTCCTTTTAACAACAAGACGTTGCAAAGATTTCTAAATTTAAATCCTGCGTTAATACAGTGCCCCTTCGAGTTGTTTGCATTTTGTACAGTTCGTTGCCCAAAAAGTTTGCGTCATAGTCGTATTCCCATGGTAACGCCTTCTCCTAACTTTACAACACCTAATATTTTCCTCCCTAAAAAGTTCACAAATAACGCCAGTTTTCTCACACTGTGCCCTCATTGATATTTTTAATTGCGCTATTGATTTAATTTTGTAAAGACACAATTGGTGAAGTGCCTTTTAGAACGAATGGGTCTACTTCCGGTTATTTGAGTGTGTTACAGCTTTGGTATAAAACGTTGTCCTTGAGGTGTAATGAAATGGTAATGTAAGTTCCACCTTTTTTTTACAAATTTGGCTTTTCCAGTCTACATCAGGAGTTTTGCAGTTTTGTTGGGCATTGAACGTGAAACATGGATCTGGACAGATGACTGGACTCCTGTCTCCGACTGTGATATTTTAAGAAAGAATTTCCTTTCAATATAATCCGCTAGTTTCATTATTATCTAGTAATGCATTCGCTTTCAGATATTCAGTTTTTGCAACAAATGGTCCCTGAATAAAGTCACAAAAAGCAATTCGTGGGAAAGATCGTCCATTTACCCTTCAATGTATTTTAGAGTGTAGTTTCGGGTACATGACTGGTAACATCCTTTTCTCCAATGCCCGTTCTCATCCCTAAATGCCCCACCAGCAGCGACAAAATTCAAACTTTCTATTTCGCTGAAATCAGCCTTTCTAATCTAGAAATCACTGGTCAATATCTCGGTTATGCCTAGCCATAAACACATACGGGTGTCTTGACATCTTTTACTAATGTATTGATTCCTGCCCCTTCGGAGTGGAAACTTTGACTGAACTATAAGCACCTCTTGTGGATATTTCGAAAGTTAGGTTTTTTGAGGTTGGGTCTGTATTTATCGCTATAAAAATAGTTTAAGTTTTTAACTACATTATTTAACAGACAGAATAAATCTGTCGACTTCTTTAGATAAAACATCAATACTTTTTGATTTTCCCATTTATATATTTGCCACCACAGTCACAAGCTTTGATAATGGAGCAGCATTTTCACCAGCTTCTCTACCACAAATCCCTCATAAGTACATCGGAAAACCAAAACTTCCGCCCTTGAATACTTCAGGAACATAATATGTTTTCGATTTTGTACTTTGTCCGGCTCGTAAAAGTTTAGCCGAATCCAACTTTCATGTCTGTTAAATAATGTTGTTCATAATAAGTGTAGCTTCACGAAGGTTAAGTCGGAAGTTTTAGACCCTCTACATGCTTCTTTTGCGCGGTGAATAATCTTAGCTAGGATCTTTATCTTTTCTTTGGTTCCTTTGTAGGTAAGATTGTCCAAATCTGTGTGACCTGGAAGCTTAGTGGATAAATGATCATTGGACATCTGCAATAAATAAAATAAATAAATAAATAAATAAATAAATAAATAAATAAATGAATGAATGAATGAATGAATGAATGAATGAATGAATGAATGAATGAATGAATGAATGAATGAAAAATAAATAAATAAATAAATAAATAAATAAATAAATCAATCAATAAATCAATCAATCAATCAATCAAATACAACAAATCATATTTTCAAAACACTGTCAACTAGAATCGAACAAGTAAGATACATATAATACAAAAATCAATTGAGTAAGGTACATAATAATTAAACGTGACACATTTCATTCAACATGAAACAGATCATTCAACATGACACACATCATACAACATGACACACATCATTCAACATGACACACATCGTTCAGCGTGACACATTTCATTCAACATGACACACACATCATATAACATGACACACATCATTCAACATGACACACACACGTCATTCAACATGACACACACGTCATTCAACATGACACACATCATTCAACATGACACACATCATTCAACGTGACACATTTTATTCAACATATCACACATCATTCAACGTGACAAACATCATTCAACATGACACACACGTCATTCATCATGGCACTTATCATTCAACATGACACACATCATTCAACGTGACACACACAATTAACATGACACACATCATACAACATGACACACATCATGCAACATTACACACATAATGCAATATGACACACATCATTGAACATGACAAACTTCATTCAACATTACACACATCATTTAACATGACACACATCATGCAACAAGACACACATCATTCAACATTACACACATCATTTAACATGACACACATCATTCAACATGACACACATCATTTAATATGACACACATCATGCAACAAGACACACATCATTTAGCATGTCTCACACCATTAACATGACACACATCATTCAACATGACACACATCATTCAACATGACACACATCATTTAACATGACACACATCATTCAACATGACACACATCATTTAACATGACACACATCATTTAACATTACACACAACATGCAACAAGACACACATCATTCAACAATTTTCAATATAACACACTTAAGTCAACATGATGCACATCATTCAACACTACATATTTAACTTAACATTATACACATTATTTAATATGTCACATGGTCAGCATGACACAGAATTTACAATATGATACGATACTAGGATTTCAACAAATCACTCGCATTTCAAGATTAAACAACAAAAACTTCAGCAAGATGAAAACATTTACACAACACATTCACATTGAAATACAATTGAAGTGATAAGAATACGTGATACGCATATTTCAACATTTTGCACTACTTTCAGCATTATATAATATAAGAACTTTTTTGTGATGTACATGCCGGCGGCCTGAATAATCTTAATAAAGAATTGAACAAAATTGTCGCATTTGAACATGAAACACACATTTCAGCATGATAGAAATATTTCTCAACAAGAGATGTCGGTAGGACAGCAACGCTCGACTATTCTTAGTGCTTGATAGTAAAAAAAATGCTTGATACAGTTACCTCCTCCTGTTTACAGTTTGGGGTAATGATGTTGAACAAGCCATATGTCAATGGACTTTGAAAATATTTGAGGTATTACAAAAACTTTAACGTAAATTCTAAGTCGAAAAAGGGGCATAATTCTGTCAAAATGCTTGATACAGTTACCTCCTCCTGTTTACAGGTTGGGGTAATGATGGTGAACAAGTGTGCAAAGTTTCAAAGCCATATGTCAATGGACTTTGAAAATATTTGAACTATTACAAAAACTTTAACGTAAATTCTAAGTCGAAAAAGGGGCATAATTCTGTCAAAATGCTTGATACAGTTACCTCCTCCTGTTTACAAGTTGGGGTAATGATGGTGAACAAGTGTGCAAAGTTTCAAAGCCATATGTCAATGGACTTTAAAAATATTTGAACTATTACAAAAACTTTAACATAAGTGGTTACGCCGACGCCGACGCAGACGCCGACGCCGACGCTCGGGTGACTACAATAGCTCTACTTATTCTTATCGAATAGTCGAGCTAAAAATACGTACATTTCAACATTGTACCTACATTATAACATGCTATAAGAATTTCAACTAACTTTACAAATTTTAACATTATACAATCAATTTTGCTTTTAACGGTCTCGCATTGTAACATGAGAAACGCATTTTAACAAGATACACGCATTTCAACATAATGAATGCATTTCATTATTATACATGTATACAATTTTAGTTTTTACTTTCTCGCGTTGCGTTAAAATCTTCAACAAGTCTTGTAATACTATTTTTAACGACTCTTTGTATATAGACTCTGCAATTTTTCAATTTTCAACAGCAATAATAGAAACGGCAGACCCATTATTTAAGAAGGAGTTTCAAGGAAATGGTTTGACTCAGAATGCTTAGGTCTTAAAAATGAGTATAAATCGGCGCTAAGGGTTTTCAATAATTGTAAATCCGATGTTAATAGGAATTTACTTTGTGATGTAAAAAATCGTTTTAAACGTACTATCCGTAAAAAGAAACGAGCTTATAAAATTAAAAATCTCGAGAATTAATTGAATTAAAAAACAAGAAGCCCTCGTGACTTCTTGGAAACATTTCAAGACTAAGTGTAACAATGAAAATGGTAATATTCCGGCGGATGAATTTAAGACGTATTTTTCGAATTTATATAGTGATATTAGCACAACGGTAATTGACGACGTGGAACGCTTTAACGAAAGTCACGATTTAATGTCAATAACCCTACATTCCATGATTAAAACGTTCAAATATCTCTACAAGAAGTTACTAACGCAGTTAAGGGTCTTAAGCGGAACAAATCTCCTTGTCCTAGTGATCAGTTAATAAATGAATATTTTATAGAAACAATAGATATTATAGGTAGTCATATCACAGATTTATTTAACAAAGTTTTTTAATTCGGGACATTTCCCTGAGTCTTGGTCACAAGGATTTATAGTACCCATTCATAAAAGGGGGACAAAAAACATGACAAATAATTACCGCGGGATTACCTTGATAAGTAATTTAGGTAAACTTTTTACCAGTATACTTACATCTCGAGTAGAAAATTGGTTTGAGAAAAACAATTTTATTTCGGACGCCCAATTTGGTTTTAGAAAGGGTAGAAGCACTGTAGACGCAGCATTTGTATTACATAGCATTATAGAACATGTTTTATCTCAAAATTTAAGACTGCCCTGCGCATTTATTGACCTACAAAAAGCATTTGACTCTGTATATCGTAATGCATTATGGTTTAAACTTTTTAAACATGGGTCTTGAGTGGCAAAATATTACAAATGTTTAAGGCTATGTACGCGATAGTTAAATCGTGCGTTAAGAGTTGTAATAAGTGCTCAGAATTTTTCGAAATATCCATTGGTCTCAGACAGGGCCTCAATAATTCTCCGGCATTGTTTGCTCTCTTCTTAGAAGACTTAGAACTTTTTTTACAAGATACAAATACATCAGGTCTATCATTTTATGACGTTTGTGTAATTATATTAATGTTTGCCGATGATATGGTTTTAATTTGCAACTCCACGCAAGACTTACAGAATAGTTTGAATAAATTATACGAGTACTGTAGTTACTGGGGTCTCAAAGTTAATATAGATAAAACTAAAGTTGTAGTATTTCGTAAAAGGGGTCCAGTTAAACAGGAAGAACGATGGTATTATAACAATCAACCTTTAGAATATAGTGAATGACTTTAATTATCTGGGCATTGTATTTAATTATACTGGTTCATTTGTTTTACATAACCAATACGTTATTGGTAAAGCATTGAAAGCGAAACACGTATTGTTAGGTAACATTAATAAATTCGATCTAAGTCCAACGTTATCCATGAAAACTATTTGATGCATTCGTAGGTTCTATTTTAAATTATGCCTGTCCGATATGGGGATTTTCAAAAACGAAGGAAATAGAGCGTATACATTTGAGTTTTTTGCAAAGCAATTTTGGGAGTGAAACAAAGCACTAGTAATGCAGCAGTTTACGGGGAATTAGCACGGGTACCCTTTGTATATAACAAGATATTTTCAAATTATAAAATTTTGGCTGCATCTTTTTAAATACGGATAACATTATAATTAGATACGTGTATAACGAATCGTTGAAGAGATGTTTAAACGGTAATATGAGAACTTGGGCCAGTAAAGTTAAACTTTTACTTGCACAATATGGGTTTTCTGACGTCTGGGATTTTCAAGATAGCGTATTAGTTGCTCATTTTCTCGCCTGTATTCAAACAGCGGCTTATAGACTGTTACGTACAACAATGGCGAGCGGGTTTGCGTGATAACAACATTTTAAATAATTTATATGTTTACATTAAGGATGAGTTCGTTCATCAGTGATTACTTAAATAAAATTAAAACGAAAAAATTACGTCAATCATTGACACGAATTCGTGTGTCAGCTCACACGTTACGTATAGAAACCGGCAGACATGGTAGAAATCGTATTGAAAGAACACAACGAACGTGTCTAATATGTGGAACATCCGACATTGAGGAGGAGTACCATTTTATCCTTAAATGTAACGCTTATCAAACTTTGCGTCTACAGTACATCAAACCTTATTTTTATAGGCGTCCTAGCATGTACAAATTTACACAGCTACTTAATTCGAAAAATAACGTCACTTTAAAAAACCTATCTAAATACATTTACCTTGCTGGTCGAATTCGTATCGGACTTATAAATACATTGCTATAAGAAATAATTTTTTTTTCCGTTCTCCAAGCATGTGTCTTAAATAGTACAGGTTAATCAATAGTAATACTAAGAACTACAATAAATTAAGCTATTTAGTACTGTCAGTTAATTTAAGTAATAAAGTCAAATATACTTTGAATCTTTGTTAGGAGTGTTGATAAATTTAAATATTTGATAAAGTACAATAATTAATAATGATTGTTTAAATTATCTGTATAGTGTATGCATTTTGCATTCTATACATTTGCACACTTTGTTATTCTCTACTGCAGTATGTTGAATTAGCTGACATATTTTTCATATTAGCTCCTTATCATTGTGACATTGTTAATATTATAATATTTTATATGTACTTGAAACAACGAGGTACTCTATTTGTACAAGTTGGAAATAAACTTTTCTTCTTCTTCTTCTTCTTCTTGTAAGGTCAATACTTACCCTATTGTTGGACCAGTGATTGTTGTCCGGATCCTTCCTGTAATGGTGACGGTAACCAATCACAATCATCACTGTAACACCGGTCAGTACACAACACAAAAATATCTTCCTTTTTAGATCGTAACGAAGCATCTCCTAGACTGGAAAAATAACATATAATAAGTAAGTAAAGATCACTCGTCTTGCTTGTACTAAAGTGTTTATTTTATTTCGGATATGTATTGATTCCCCATAAACGTCTATGTTTCTCACAACAGTGTCGTGTCGTTTGAGATACTATTGTATAATCAATTGTTCGTTTAATACGATATTACATATCATTTATCATCTTGAAGGTTACTAAAAAGTAACTTTGCTAGTCCAATAAATCCATTTACATCTAAAATAATTTCAATTTCGATCGCTTCCCTGTAAATATATTGTTTTTAATTTATCTTTTTCTATCACGTATTAAAAATGAATAAAGATACACAATAAACGCTCAATATTTGTGACATAAATAATATTAGTTTATGGCATATACTGAAGAATAGTGCACTTAACAAAAGTTTAATCCGTATTAAAGAAGGCTTAAGATTATGACCTTTCATATACGCTATTGCCTGTAATATCTGACCTTCACATCCGCTAGATATATGTAGTGGACTGAACCTGTCCTGTCATGACATTGTTAAGGGCTTTCAACTTAAGATGTGAAATTAAGTAACATGCTGTAACTATATAATATTTGGCCAAGCTGTAAGGCAGTGTATATATACTGGGGGTATAGGTGTTTTGTGTTTTTATTTTGGCCAATCTAACTTTTTATAATGACTTAATGCAAATTTACTTAAAAACAAAACTTTACTTATTAGATTGATGTAAATCAATTAAGAAGAGGACTCCCATATAATGATATATAAACTTCTGAGCCAACCCTTTTGTATATTGCAAAATGCATAGTCTCAGAAAAACTACTATAACATAATTTTCTTATTATTATATACCTATAAATTCTAAGACAAAAAGAGATTTAATTTACCGAACTTCTATAAGTTTTCAAAAACAACATGAAATTATGTTCATGAAAGACGGATGGATACACCATTGTTTTTGCATAAAGAGCTGCGCCCTTAGCAACATCGGTTCCAATTTACAAATATTACTTACGCAATGCACAGTCAAGATTCGAACCAATGAGAAAAAAAGTCCGACATGTTCCTTATATGATATCGCATTTGTTACTACCATAATACATGCATGTGTTTTTCTATCCAAAGACTCGTACATGCGTATATTCTATGGAGAAAAGAACATAAACCAAACGTAAAAGGTAAGCAGACTATTCAGATTGAATGACAAATAACAAAAAAAAAAAACGAAAAAGACAACGTTTTTTTTTTTGTTGTTCAAAATCCTTTGATTATATGTTCGAGGATCATGAACATTTGAGATAAATTTATAACAGGGTTTTCATTCCGCTTATGTGTTTTTTTTTGTGTTTTTTTTTTTTTAACTTTAATACCAGTCCTTGAAATTTCCGCCAACCTTCGACACTTACACTTCTGAATCACTATTTTAATGGATTTTATTCCATTATTGTAACGTTGAAGAGGATATTGAATAATTGTAGAATTAATACATTTGAAACCGCAGCCACTATATACCCACTATCAAAAGCAAAAACATGTACAGTTCCCAATCGCGTGCTAAAAATGAACAATTTTGTATTTCAGTGTGACCACTGACCAGAAACACAATTCCAAATATTTCAAAATCTGTTTCACAGGCAGATAACCAGTTGCACAGCATTATTCAATGATATATGACATACATTGAAGAAAATAATAGTTTGCATGAATTGCTCCTTCAAAAAATGACTGACAGCAATTTATATTTACCCCCACCCAGCCAAAATCACACCTAAAATATACCAATATGGGCAATCTTCATGAAGGTGCAGCATACTCCAGAATCCGCCCGATTCCTTTAAAAATATCAGTAACACGCAGTGCAAGCTATGGCATTTTCAGAAATGACCAATAGTGTCTGTCATACGTTTAGATTTTTCACAAAATTTATGTGAAATTTCTTACTTGTTTGGCGCCAACTGTCAAAGCTTGATTTTTAACTTTTTCACCTCCATTCGGAGAGTCAGAAATACATATAAAGCTACCAAAATGCTTAGTTTCGGGTAAAAACCCAAAAATACTTCTCATTTCCTACACACAAACAAGAAAGAATTACAATGACAGAGAAATATCAGAAGTTATCAGTACCTTCAAAACACCATGTCTGAGTTATAAAAAAATTTGACCGGGCCATCATTCGAATATGTCCCCTGCCCCCTAACAAACAGACATGTGACGTAAGCGCTTTAAAAATGCGACGCGCTGTAAATAAGTACGGAAACAAGTCAGACGCAATTTGTAATAGTTTTAGTATATGAAACGAGTTAGTTACGAGGATATAACACTGGCTGGGGCGACATCAAGGGATGTTTCTGCTAAAAATGGCGAGGCCGTTATTGTAAAAAGGTCTGTAACTCCTGCGTTTTAAAGTTCTACATAGGATTTAAACAGTCCTACGTAGGAGTTATAAACTTCTAATTAGGCCTTTTTTATTCTCTACGTATGATTTATCTTTTTTTTATCATTATAAATTGGCACCAGGACGCTTTCGTTCTTTACCAATGATACAAGATTGAACAAATATCTAGTTACTTTTTATAGAATATAAATGTGTAATTTTTGCATCTATATTTTTACCATATAAATAGATACGTTTTGAATGTAAATAAAAATAAAGAACATGAATATTTTTATACAATACACATGCGGAATTTTACCACATAGGTATCTATGTGTTACAACATAAATATAAAATTATACAATATAAATTTAAATACTTTATCACATAAAAATATGTTTTAATTTTTGCAACGTTCCACACGTTATACACATGGGCATTTTATATTGATAATCCAAAGATTGTCTATAGTGACGGTATATTACATCAAGTACTTGTCGGAGACAAATTGCGCATTCAGCATTCTGAATCATTTCATTTAAAGGAGAACAAATACTGCTTTAGGTTATAGACTCTATGACGCAGGTGTCCCTCCTTGCATTATTTCAAGCACAAACGGGCACCTGTAAGCTAGCACAATAGCTTAATCACAGGAAAGAATCCAAAGGTCCTGGTGGTATTCGAACCCACATCAATAAGGGGCAAGTGGTTTGAAGTAAGAGCAAATTGAAAATTATTTGCAAAATGTTGATAAAAGCGTTTTACTGTCACAGTATATGATCTGTGTTAAAAACTATCTTTGTGCATTATATCAAATGCTTGGGAAAGAATGTCATACGAGTCGTTATCATCAGCCATTGCTCACTGTCGGGTACGTAAACGGTGCAGATTTTCCGTGATACGGTGCTTCCATCCAATTTGGAGGAAGGTAAACAACTAAAAGGTACGTGCCATTTTATTTTCTATGTATTTAGACAAATCCGTTTTATATAGTAAAAGAAGAATATTTGCATGTAACGTAAAAATAAATTCACTATAAGATCGATAAGTTCACAATATATGTTACATTTGATATATATGATTGTTTTACAAAAAACTTTTGTAAATAAATGTACATGAAATTTGAACCGAGAGAAGTGGTAAATTTTTGAGTCAATCTCCGTACAAGAGACACTTATATTGAAGTAAATACTCTTGTTTATTACAGTAAATGTATAAAATCATCTGTGCAATTTCAACAATTGTTCTGTCAATTTGTTTTAACGAAATTTGTCAACTTTCTGTTCTGACGTTCTGACAACGGTGCAGACGCTATATACAACGGCGCGGACTTTCCGTAACCGTTGCTAGGTTTAGCGCAATAACTCTAAAAATACTGAATAAATCCGCACGAAAATACCCAGGTGAACAACTGCACATGCTGATCAACATTCCCGTCAAGTTTCATGACTCTAGGTCAAATACTTTTTGAGTTACGTGCGACACAAAAGAGAACGGACGGACAGACGGAAGGACGGACGGACAAGGGTAAATCTAAATGCCCGCCACTAAAGTGGGGACACGATATGTAACAAAGAATTATTTAACAAAACGTTACAGATAGAGTTGGTGGACAGACATCTGTAGGAAGATATTATCGTTATTTTGTAAATGAACTTTGTCAAAAACCATGCGAAGAATATTCTGGATACAGAAGGATCAGATTTCACAGATCATAACCTTATAAATGGGTTAGTGTTTTGTTTTCTAAATAAAACACAGCTTATTGTATATTGATGACTGGTAGATATCATCACTTGCTAAAAGAATAAAAGAAAAACAGCTTCTCAAGTAGGCCTACGGTACACTTAAAACTTGCAAGTTAAGGACACTTTAGTTATTGCTACTCTTGGTTTATTGTTGTTACAGTTAGATTTAGTTTACAAATTCAGATAATCACAGTATTTATTCGGGGTAATAAAATAAATAAAACATGGGTTTGTGGGTAACAGTAAAAATATCATCCCTTGTAAAAATACTGTAACCCGAGGCGTAGTTTCCTCGGGATGATATTTTACTGTTACCTACAAACCCATGTGTTTTTATATACATATATAATGTGTAGGTAGGTAGCTAACTAGTCTGGTTAGCTGCTTATTGCACATATTTGCAGACTGGTCACTTTATAGAAACCTCTCAAAAAATTAATTTTAATCTACTCTCACGCTGGACACTTATAGTTAAAATCATACATAGCTGACAATGCGGAATCACCGTAACACCTTAAAGAAAAACAAATCCGACGTACACTCATAATAAATCAGTAATCGTCTTCTTATGTCATACATTAAGGTAAATTAAAATAGTGCGAAAATAATCTTAGAAAATTACTTACCAAAGGAACAAAAAGATCAATGAAGAAGCTACAATGATTTCGGTAATCCACAATAAGGGAATAAATGTGTCTTTCACTGTGCTAAGAATCACAATGACACGCATATTTCGTGCTGAATTTGAGTGAATTCATAATACATTTAAACAAATAGGCCCGTATTCAAAATCGATACTTACAGTAAATCCCATATAATTGCCTAACGGTCAAGACAGTCCTCAAAAAGCACGAGGATAACGGTGTAATGCCAGTTATCATGAAATTAGTGAAGCGTCAAATTTAAGACCCGTTTAATGAAGATATGCTCGAATGGTATGCAGATGAAAATGTAAAAATTAAGATGACTCTACAGATTAAAGTTTAAAAAGAAATTACAAAAAAGCAAAATTGTAACTTAAATCACAATGGCCTTACCTTCCAACAAGAATTACACACAAGTAAATAATTTCTTTATATCTTAAACTAAATGTTTGTAGGGACATATTTGACCTATTCACGAATCCGCATGTGTGGTGTTACCCTGGTACGGAATTAGACTAAGCCCGTTGCAGTCTAGAAAGTAGTTATTCTAAATTTTGAAGTGACCCATTTCAAGCCATCCTTTGTAAGACTGTTTACATTTAAACTATCTTTTTGTAATTGTATACATGAAAATTCCTCTCCGAGTACTTTAAAGGTTGTTTTTTGTGTATCTTTGCAGGATTTCATTTCTTGGTGGAAGGTTTCAGAAGTACTATGCGCCAGAATACACCACAGTTGTTATTTGGTTTATTTTATAGTGCTTGTACAAAATAAAAGCGTCAGAAAAAATCCAAGGGCTTATGTGTTATTTTTGTGCTAAATTTTGTTGGAAAGTATTTTTGTTACAAGTTAAAGCCACCAAATGTGATGGATCTACTATAGGATATATTGTGCGAAAATTCATTGGGCCGCCTCGGTGTATACACCAGCAGATGACACCGGTTTAGCTTTTTAAGATATTTTTTATGGAATAAGTTTTCATACCTTTGTTGTTGGCTATATTTTTAACATGTGTAGACGTTGGAACGGAGGTAAAAACTGTAAAATCGCAGAATTTTTAGCAAATTTTTAAAAAAGACATTTTTAAAAAGGCCTACGTCTTCTGAACATTATAAAATTTAAACGGAGGAAATCGAATAACAATTGATACAACAGACCGGTATATAGATAGAAAGACGCAATTCCACCGCCGCCGATAGAGGGCGCCTTGACGTCATCGTAACGCTGTTTATTTTAATATTCAAATACAAATGCTGCGGAAGTAAAGCTGACATTTCTTATTGTGTGTATACCAAATATCATCAAGATCTGAGGACGGTCGGAAAGTAGTAAGCTACTTTTTAAAAATGCCAGCAATAATTTCAATTAAAGCCCTTCTCATTGTATGGAAAAAAAGAAAGACACAGCCTTAAAAACGTCTGTTATAAGCAATGTTTATTTGTTACTTTGTTTATTGCATAGGTAAAACATAAAAACAAAATCGTACACAATGTCTATTTAAAATGTGTTGATATGCAAAAGATATTCTCTACATATGCCGTGGTGATTGAAATGTTGCCAAAATTCCAAGCGTGTAAAGTGTTCTTTTTGAAAACTACTTTTGAAAATGCGAACGTGCCAACTTGATTATGTATTATATGCAGTGAAAGATACGAGCTTGTAAATGTGTTTTTATTATGTTAAGTCAACTGTTTAGATCTATATAATTATGTTAACTTGTTATTTTAAAAACGGGAACTTTCAATTAAAAGATGGATCAAAAGACATATTATTTGCAGTGTAGGGATACAATCAAATATGATAAGCATACACGTTCAAAAGCAGTTTTCAAAAGGAACACATCGCATCTGGAATTTTGGGAACGGATACCCTCCAAAGTACAGTCCCATTGTGATATATTACAATACTAATGAAAACATCGTCGAATGATACTTTAAGCAGAGGACTTTGGTATGCGTTTGTTCATTGAATTAGTTTGTTCCGCATATTATTTTCATCTAATATAAATATCAAATCACGTTTTACGTACTAACCGCTTTAAGCCATGTCAAAATTACTGGTTTTTTCAGGTGACATCACGTTTATTTAATCACGTTTATTTAAGCTTTAACGTATGAGAATAAGAAAGACTATTTACCATAGAATTCGCATTTATGACATCTGTGCTTTAATAATGACACTACCAATGATAACATCTCGGTTTTACCGAGTATTTTATAGGAAGATATTTATCAAAGTGACGCTTAAGAGATGGTTGTTTTCTTTTGCTTGTATACGAATGGTTTTTTGTTAGAACCAAATGCATCATTCAGGGTCTTTTAAATGTAAGACTATGAATTAATGCGTAAATGCAGAAATGTTCCACTTGATTACTTAAATTCACAATTGCATCATAATTTATCAAAATAATAAACTATTCTAAACTCGTGGTTAATCATTTAGATTATATCAGATTGTTAATGAAGTTGTTGAATACCGATATATAAATTTATTCTTTCATTTTTGCTCTTTCACCCCCCCCCGCAAAATGCGCATGCGCGAAATGCTGCTTCCGTTTCTATGGAAATATTGTATTGTAAAAAGGCCTATATATTTATTTGAAATCCTTTGGAAAATGTTGTGCATTTCGGTAGTACTATGGTTGAAAAATAGGTTTGACAACCAAAGTCAATTTTAGAATACCCCAATTTAAAAAAAGCAAAAATCCGAAATATCGCAAACATTAGTAGGCCATTTGAAATTGCGGTTTCTAAAAATAAATTTTTTAACTCTGTCTTCTATTGAAGACGATTTCAGACGTTATCTATTAAAATATCTTAGCCGATATGTCAAAAATAATTAATAATAAAAACCTCAATGTATGTAACATAGTTTAAATGTTTGCATGCAAGGCATTTCAGTAGATAAACCTAGTTGATAAAAGTGCAAGCCCAAAGGCAAAAGACAAAGATATTTTGATAGATAGTGTCTTAAATCGTGTATACATGTCTGCAGATAAGGAGATGACAATAACATGTACTTCAGTGAAGCCATGTGGTAAAGTCTAGTAGCTAGTGTAGTGTAAAGGATATGCTCCAGGGTATATTTGCGAAATAGGTCTGTCATGACGATCTCTAGTGATAAAAAAATAAATATAATGTACTCCTAATATCACAGCATAGCAAAGTGTTATAACATAACTTAAAACTCCGTAAACATGGTATTGCACGGGCGAGCATATAATTTGACTAGACGTTCTTTAATTAATACAAACATAGTGTAAAGACGCTCTAAATGTTAGCGTTATACTACAGGTGCATCAATGAAAAATGATTCTTTTGCACTATGAGTAGTCTTTATTTTAGGTATTTGATATTCGTGTGGGTTTATTACTGAATTAATTGAACGAGTTGAATAAAAAAATACTTTGCTCGCCAGAGGTTTGCATATTAAAATTTTATTTAAGTCGTTCAATAAATTCAGTACTGAACCTACACTCATGCAATATCCTCTATATAATTCAATAGTCTATATAATATTAATAAATTGCAATGAATACATGAAGTCCATTTCCTTGTACTTTAGTCCGCTGACTAGCCTGGGTTCCAGTCTGTCGATTTTTTTATGTGCTTCTGTTCGGCAAATCTATCAAAACCAGAGATGTTTTGTTATCTATGACGATCGAGTATGAAATAGCGCGTAAGTTATGAATAAGCAAAAAAATATCAACGCCTGAATCCCAGGCTATCCGCTGACATACTAGTAACATAGTGTCTTCCTAATAATACTGCTATACTGTCGGATTTCTTGGTTGTTATTAATGTAAGTCTATTTAAAATGGCAACACAATATTTCCTCCTCACATGATGTATCATAATGCTAGAATATACCGACAAAACATGGTCTGACGGATAATGTGTCTGTGTAATTTATAAAATACGTAATGTTTTTCCTATGAACGCAAGCGATTTCTTTCAAGTGATAAAACTTGAAAACTAAATACATCTTGAAAGCTGACATACCTTTGACACTGATTATCAAACTTACTATTATTATTATCATTATTATTGCTATTATTGTTGCTCTTATTATTATTATTACTTATACAGCGCTATTTTCATTTACCTGTACACGTTTCATATAGACAGTGATATCACTTATAAACAATATGATTAAAATAGCAGGACAGATTTTAGTCAAGACTAGTCGTCTGATGTTAAAATATTAAAAACAAAATATCATGCAATAATAGATAACTTCACAAAACTTATATAATATAATGAACACTCGACATTTAAGTTGCATTTTTAATTATATTGAATCAATAGTTTACAACAATTAACAAAGAGATCATATTAAACTTAGTATATGTACAATGTAGTGAATTTGTGATTAATATCAAGTAATGGTAACACAGTCTCCGTAAAATACAGATTATTCCAAATGGAAACTCTATTTATAAGCGTGGTTGAAATAGTTTGAAAAGAACACAAAGTCACATCGGCTGCAGTTTTGGTGCTACATGTTCAAATTGTCGGTAGTTCACTGAAGTAAGTGCTTTGTTCTAAGAAAGCATATTCATTGGGTAACACTAGCTCTATATATTCTCGTGATTTTCCGATTAAAGCTATGTAGGTATGAGTTAAAATTTTAACTGAACTCAGTAATGCACCGGAAGTCAGTGTAGTTATTTAAATACTGGCGTAATTTGGTTTTACCGTGAAGTTCTGGAGATGATGCGGACAGCGATATTTTGAACGATCAGCAGGTTGTTAATTAATGTTAGAGATACTCCATACAGTAGTGCATTACTGTTATCTAGGCGCGAGATAACCAATGAAGTCACAAGCTGTTTTGATGCACCAATTGTTTATATATTTCTGCATTCTGCATATTTGTCTAAGTTGTGGATAATATGCTTTACATACCGAGTTATTGTAATTATCCTTGTCATGTTCATTTTTGAATCAAAGATGACACCGAAGTTTCTTTTAATCTTAACAATATTCAAAGTCTAAAATGAGAAATGACAGGGAGTTGGGAAGGTTGCCACATAAAAGTTAAAAGTTATTGACTTTAATTTGCTGAC